AGCTGGCTTGTGGGCATGTGTGCGCCGCGGCCCCTGCGTGGGCCGCCGCGCGAAGCTCCACCGTCACGTGGACGTCGGGGCGAACCTCCACCAAGCGCTGCAGGATGCCCAGCAGCACGAAAGTGGCGCCCTTAATGGGATATTGGAGTCTCTGGGTGGCTTGACTGTGACTCTGACTCTGACTCTGACTCTGACTCTGACGTGACTGTGGTTTGATTTCGATTCTCTTTACTTTGTTGAGTACTGAACTGATTTCAGATTTCGTAGCTCTCGTCACGCTTGCCACGTCGAGTCGAGTCATGTCACACTCACAGAGTCACATGCATGCATGCTGCGTGTCATCAGTCATCACAATCTGTCCGTGATGTCTTTGTCGTCGTCGCGTCACGTCATGCATGCGGTCATGCTGCGGCCTATGGCTAGTTGCGTGAGTCTTAAATTAATAAATTCAATTTCTCATGAAAATTTTAGTCTGAGTCTTAGTCTTAGTCTTAGTCTTAGTGTTTACAAAAATCGGCCAACGGTGCCGGCGTTATCCGCGGCGAAAAGAAAAAAGGGTTTCGGCGTTTTCGGGTTCGGTTTAGGCGGTTTAGGCAAGCAGCCCTACCTAAGCCGCGCAGCCTAAGTCTAAGTCTATAAGTCTAAGTCGCAGTCTAAGTCTAAGTCTAAGTCTAAGTCTAAGTCTATCAGCCTGACAGTCTATTTATTTTAAATGACTCTGAATATCAGGAGCCGGGATCGTCGGCTGTCAGCCAGGGTCCCACAGCGGCAGCGGATGAGGCTGCTAATGATGCCTACGATTCGTTCGATGACATGGTGCGAGACTCAGTGCAAGAAGCACAGAACAGGCGCTGGATGGACAGCGGGTTCTTTCACTCGGAGGAAGAAGAGTTGTCGCCGTTGTCGCCGTCGTATGAGCATGAAGAGAAGTTGAGAGACTGCCAGCGCCAGCCGGCTGCCAGCCCGAAAACGTCAGGGCAGCACGAGCCAGAGGACAACGGCACGACCGCCGAGCAGCCGCAACCGCTGGAGTCACAAGTGGACGGGAGAGTGAACGCAGCAACAGAGCTGGAGTCAATGGCGGAGCCACTCAGGAAGGAGGAGCAGCCGGAGCACAATGACAGCCAGGCGGAGCCACTCAGGAAGGAGGAGCAGCCGGAGCACAATGACAGCCACAGCAATTTGCAGCAGCAGCCGGCTGTCAGCCCGACAACACCAAGGCAGCCGGAGGCCCAACTGGACGGAGCAAAGAAAACAGTAACAGAGCAGCCGCAGTTGGAGTCAGAGGTACAGCCAGTCAGGAGCCAGGCACGCGTGGTTTCGGACTACCTATCTGATGCCTACTGGAGTTCCCATTTGTCACCTATCAAACCCCGGCCAACTGACAATGATGGCAGGAGCCCTCCGCCAACCGTGGCCCCAACAGTGATCGTAGCGCAGCCGGAGCATAGCCATGGCTGCAGCAATCTGCAGCAGCAGCCGGCTGTCAGCCCGACAACACCAGCGCAGTACCAACAAGAGGACAACAGCACGACCAGCGAGCTGCAGCAGCAACAGCAGCAAGCTGTACAAGTTCCTGTACAAGCGCAGGTAGTAAAAGAAAGCAAGGAGCAAGAACAGCGGCCACCGGAGCCGCAGCCCCAGTCAGAGCCAGGGTTACTGGGAAAGGAGGAAACAAAGACCAAGCAGTCGGAAGCCAGCAGTCTGCAGCAGCAGCCGGCTGTCAGCCCGACAACACCGGGGCAGTGCGAGCAAGAGGAGTGCAGACAGCAGCAACCGCCGGAGTCACAACTTGACGTAACCTTAGACGAAGCTGCAGGCAAAGAGCAACCTCCGCAGCCGCAAACAGAGCTTCAGTCAGAGCTGTTCAGCAAACAGGAGGAAAGAAGGCAGCACGAACAAGCGCCAGAGAAGGAAGGCAACAAAAGCACAACAGCCACCACCGCCGCAGTGCTTTCCGCTGACAGCGAGCAACCCACGGAGCCTTTAGTACTGGGGAAGGAGGAAACAAAGCAGTTGGAAGCCAGCAATGACTCCAGTCTGCAGCAGCAGCCGGCTGTCAGCCCGACAACACCGCGGCAGTGCGAGCAGGAGGAGAACACTGCAACAGTACACGAAGACTCAGGCAAAGAGCAAAACCGCCAACCGCAAGCGCCAGAGTTGGAAAGCAGCAAAAACACAACAGCCAACGGTGCCGCAGAGTCTTCGGCTGCCAGCCAGAAGCCTGCGGAGCCTTTGCTCACACCAGACTCGCTCGCTTTGGTTCAGAAGGTGCAAGCGAACAGGGACCAGCAGTCCGACGAGTCCTTCGAAGCACTTCTGCAGGCTTGCAAGCAGCACGAACTGTTTGCTGCCTTCGAGGCAGACTTCCTCGAACACTGGGATTCAGATGAGCCATGGATCTTTCAAGAGTCGGAAGATCTTGAATTGTTTTTCGATTTCGTGCAAAGGAAGGCGAACTTAGACTTGCACCGTTTCGCCCGGGAAGCTTCGGACTCAGAGAGCTCGCAAGAGGACGTGTCCAAGACTAAGACTCAGACTCCGGCTGACAGCCAAGACAGAGCGCGCGCTGCTGACACTGCCACCCAGGCTGATTGTTTTCCAAAATCTTTCGGCTGGCAGCCACAGGACAGCGACAGCGACAGCGACAGTGTGTCGGGAATGCTGGAAATGGTAGCCCGAGCCAAAGACAATGACGGGCATGAGTCTGAGCCACGTAATCAAGCAGCAAAGGATCTTGGACCAGAGCGGCTGGTCCTTCAAGAGCCGGCGTTGTTTGCGCAAACCGAAGTGTGGAAGTTTTTGCAGCTTGCTTGGGGCAAATTGTCCCAGCAGCAGCGACAAGACTGCCTGCTCAATCTGACCAAACACACCCACTTCCGTGGCGAGGCAGGTGACACCTGGCGGCCAAGCGGGCCTTCCATCGGGACGATGTGCTCTGGCAGTGGAATGGCAGAACTTGTGCACAGAGTTTTGACCGAGGCGTTGCAGACAAGAGAAGTGCTTGTGCACAGTTGCGAAAAAGAAAAGTACAAGAAAGGCCACCTGCTGCAGTACGTCGCTCCGATCATGGAGCAAGGCAACCCGGATCCGGCTGTCAGCCAGAGGCACGGTTGCGTTTTCACAGAGTTTGCCTCTTTGGCAGGAACGTCAGCTTACTGCGATCGCCACCAACGCACATGCCGCATCCAGCCATCGCCGCTGCTTGTTGTTGTTGGATACTCTTGCAAGCAACTTAGCAAAATGAACAACGCCAGCAACGTCGGAGTGTTGAGATCGCAGACAGGCTCCAGTGGGGAAACATGCTTCGCACTCATGAAGTATTTGCGGCAGCACCGGCCCGTTGCTGCGCTGCTTGAAAATGTGGAGGAGATGTCCAGAGAAAGCCAGGAGTCAGACAACGTTGCTTTCTTTTTGGAGCAGCTGGAGGCTTTGGAGTACAGTTTGGCCACAAAGCTTCTCGAAGCGTCGCACTTTGGGTTGCCGCAGGCTCGCAAACGTGCCTGGCAGGTTCTCCTGAACAGGTCCGTGTTTGACTGCTCTACGGAAACCCTTGACTCCATCGCACAGGCGATCCTGAACACTGCTTCGTCTCTCGGCTGTCAGCCACGTCCGGCAGTGGATTTCCTGCTTCCTGATAACGATCGCTACGTAGAGGAGGTGCTGGCGAAAAAAAAGCAGGCAGCCCGTGACAGCTCTGGCGAACTGGAGGCTTGGCGGCAGAGGCATCGCGATTTCTTTGCGACCAAGAACATCGCTTGGACAGAAATTAAGCTGCCTGAGGTTGTGCAGAGCAGTCCCTGGGCCTGCCTACTCACAGAACGGGAAAAGGAGGTTCTGGCCTACAGTTTGATGAAGCACTTTGCAGACGTCAAGGCCTCTGGGACGCCTTCCGCTGACAGCGAGGGCCGCCAGTTTGTTGCAGTAGACCTTTCGCAGAGGCTTGACCGAGCCCGAGTCACCAGTTCCCCCGACTTGTTTTTCACGATGCTGCCAACCCAGAAAATCTGGGTTTTGGCACGCAGCAAAGAGGGCCTGGTGCTTCACAACCGACTTCTGACGGGCAAGGAATCCTTGAGGTTGCAAGGATTTCCAGAAGTCTCGGAGCTGCAGGTGACTGACCACCAGCAGCAAGACCTTGGTGGCAACGCCTTCGCCAGCACAATTTTGATGGCATTGCTTCTGTCGCTATATTCCCACCTTCCGCAATACATGTGGACCGACAAAGAGCAAGAAGAAACGGCTGCAGCTGATGATGTGGAGCGGTTGCTTTGTGATATAGACGACCTGGACTAGTTCTAGCGCCTCCTGGCAGCAAAGGGCCGCGTGTACGGCTGACAGCCAGTTGGACAGCAGGGCGCACTCCCGTGGCGCGGCGGTGGCATAGCTGCCCCCACTGCCTTGGCTGTGAAGCTGTGAACTCGCCCTGTTTGAGTTTTTGGACGTTTGAAGGCCTGTAGGGCCGAACCACGAGCACCACGTCTTTACACAGCTGAGTGCGAAAACCGGTGAGTGGGTGACGGTGCGTGCTTTGATTGAGCAAGTGAGCAGCTTGACAGGCCGGCTGTGGTACAGTGTTCCGACGTCACGTTCAGTTATGTTATGTTCAGTTCTGTCATTCTGTCTTCATGCTTGGGAACTCCGTGTGACATGTGACATGTGACATGTGGATGCTTCCATGGGCTCAAGTCAAAGTGGCCCCAAGTTGAACTATCTATCAGTCTATCAGTAGTGAAGTCAAGTCAGTCAAGTCTTAGGAGTCTGACAGACGTCTACAGTCCTCTGGAGAGAGCCTGAAACGCAGTAGGTGGTAAGACTAGACGAGAGTTGCCTGGCCCTGGTGAGCAAGTGCGGACGGGGGCCGCTGCGCTGAAGTTGGCTGCGTTGTTGTTGTTGTTGTTGTGCTCGGCTGCCAGCCTGTTTTGAGCTCGGCTTTCAGCCTGTTGGGCACTCGGCTGTCACCTTGTTGTGTGCTCGCCTGTCTCTCTCGGCTGTCAGCCATGGACGAGGACTTGAAATCCGTCGCCGGCCGCTCAGAACGCTCAGAGGGGGCAAACACTGCTTCGACAGCTCTGTGTCAAAACTCCGCCGCCGGGACGGTGGTAGACGGACAAGTCTTCTTGAAGGTGCGCAGCTGCATCGCTTGCGGTCGCAAGAACTGCGACCTAAACGAAATCAGGGCAGGCTTGTTGTCGAAAAGCCGCTTCACAGTGTGGCATAGAGGCACCCCAGAGGATCCTCAGTCCAAGCACGACAGGGTTTGCCAGCTCACGTACCAGCACGGCGCCTTCGGAGACGAATCCATCGAAGAGTTTGTCAACAATCGGATGAAAAGAGATCCGCAGCTGCAGGCCGAGTTCATAGCAGCTCGAGGTGCCATGCTGGAGCTGCTCAACGAAGGCAAAGCGCGGTTCAGGGGCAAGACAATGGACTCCGCCAAGCAGCGCCTGGAGCTTGCCAGAAAGAAGTCTGTGGAGGAGTTCAAGGAGGCTTCGACTGAGGTGGTGACGGGCTACGTGTGCTGGGACCGGGCGCTCTTCGAGAAGGAGCACCCAGGCCTCATAGAAAAGAAGGGTTTGAAGGTGGCGAAAAAGGTCATAGACGGAAAAAAACGGGAGGTCGTGATGATCAGGAAAAACCGCGAGGGCATCTGGGACGTGAACGTCACCGAGAAGACAGGTGTTCGACAAATGGAAGAAATCGACAACGGCGAGCACGAGATCCATGAGGGTCAGCACAGCTTGAAGTTTTCCTCCTCAAAGAAGCGCCTGCACAACGCACTTGCCGAGAAAGCGAACGAGTCAAGCGTGCTTGCGGCTGACAGCCAGGAAGACCTGAAGGACAAAGCGCTGCCGAGGCTGGCTGAGTCTTCGGACGAGGACGGCGACTACGGGGTGAGGAGCACTTTGCTGGACGAGGGCGATAGTCCGCCAAGGAAAACCCAGCGGCCGAATCCAAGCAGCGGCAGTGGTGCCAACTTGCCTGCGCCCAAAAACAAAGCCAGAGGCGGACAGCAAGCGCAGAATCCGATTCCTGCTGGCAGCAAGTTTCCCGATTCTGCTGTCAGCAAGCATCTGTCAAGTGAGAGGCGGGAGTCTCGAGAGCAACCTCCAGGACCTACAGACAACAAAGCGGACACAGCCGGCCGAGGCCGGCCGAACAAGTTTAACAACAAGACGCCGGTGGAAGTCCTGGAGTCCAGCGGCCTGGTGGAGGTGAAGACTTGCCGGCAGAGCGTGCAACTTGCCAGCAACAATTTTTTCTGCTCAGAGTCTTGGAGTCTCAGTCCCAGTCCGAGTCCTACTTGTATCTGTAGTCTGCAGTCCGTGGTCCGTATATATTATATAATATAATTTACATAGAGTCGAGTCATACAGAGTCATCATACAGTCATACAGTCATGCGTTGAGTCATACAGTTATCTTGGGGCATCATCCAAGGGTGGACTTCTTGTCGAGAGACATCTTGAACAAGCTTTGCACAGATGTTGAAACAACGGAAGTTTACAAGAAGACGATGGCCGAGTTCTCAGGGAAGACTAGCGAGTACCAGAGGAAGGCCACCGCGCTGGAAGCCAAAGTGAAAAAATGGCAAAACCGGCCATCTGAAACTGATGAGCTGGCAGGAAGGCAGAAGGAGCTTGCGAGCATGCTTCACGCAGCGGCAACAGTGTTTCAGCTGTCAGCTAAGAGATCGCCCAACACAGACAAGATGGAGCAGATCCTGACAACTTTGAGACATGAGGGCTTGGAGGCAGGACTTAAGATTCGCGAAGTTTTTGAGTTTTGTGTATGTTTACCAGTATAGGCTGGCGGCTGGCTGATAATCCATAGTCCATAGTGCATGGTCCATAGTCTATAGTCTATAGTCTATAGTCTATAGTCAGTATAGTCTATAACTGCAGGCTGTTTGGATCCTGCAGGTGCCCATGGCCTGGTGTGACTTGCTGCTCCAAGAGAAGCTCGCGGAATGCTTGCGCTTCAAGAAGTTGGACGAGTTTGCGCGCACGTGCCAGCCAGGGAAAGGTCCTTTCGAGGGAGTTGCAGACGAGCGAGCTGACGTGATGCAAGCCTGCATTCACAAGTGCCTTGGCCAAATTTTGTGCGACCTTGTTCCGGATCCGGCTGTCAGCCAGAAGAAGAACAAGAAGGGAGCAGCAACTGCGAAAGAAAGGAACGCTCAAATCCAGACAATGCTGGATCTGGCCTTGCGTTTGGTGGAGGAAAACGCACTGCCGGAGGAGATGTTGCGAGACTTGGACATCCTAGCCGATGCACTTGATGAGAAAAGAGCGGACCATGCTACTGCGCACAACCGGCTGTCAGCCTGGAAGCAGGACGACGAGTACTTTGGTGTTTTGCGGCCAGTGGTCAGAAATGAGCACTGGTCTGCGCTCGTCCAGCAGTTTTCCGCCCCAGCCTCCGCCGCCTCGACCTCTGCCTGCCTCCGTTCTGCTTTCAACAAGGTGAACGGGAACACGTCGCCAGTGTCAGAACAGGACAGAGGCGAACTTGTGGGCGCACTCCAGGGCTCGGCTGAGCAACCGGCCAATTATGACTATCTGAATAGCGTGTTGTGCGGTCTGCAGCTGTTGGCAGAAGAAGCAAACAAGCAGCAAAAGGACTTTGTTCTGCGCGTTTGCAAAGACATTTGCGGCCGTGGTGTGTCTGCTTCAGATTTTCATGGGGATGAGGATTTGATGGAGCAGATGTTCGCGAAAGGTCACTGGGAAGTTTCGGTTGTGAAGAACGCAATTTCAGAGAGTGCAGCAGAGCAGCAACACAAGAACACGGTGCTGCAAACCTGCGAGAAGCTTGCGGCAGCGAGCAGCAAAGTTTGCCTGTGGCATGGGTTGCTGAACGCCATACTGACTTTGGCCAAGACGGCGCAGGAGCATGCGGACAATGGGTTGGATGCAAACGTCCAAGACGATTTGGTGCAGTGCTGGAGTGAGGTGAAACACCGACTGCAGACAGACCCGGAGATAGCCGCAGCAGCTCAGCCCGTCAAGGAGGCCTTGGAGAACTTGCTGAACGCCACGAAGACTGAGCAAGTGGGACCTCAGGTCTACGAAGGCGCCATGACGGAGCTCCGGCTGTCAGCCATGGAACTGCTGAGGCTTGCCAAAGAGTGCCGCAAGCCAGAAGTGCAGGAAGCTGCTAGCAACTTGCGAAAACTCGAGCATCGCTGCATGCAGTGCTGCTCGCTGTCAGACACGCCGGTCTTCGCTAGGTCTTGCGTCAGCCTTGTCACCACCGAGTTCGCCGGTGTGTGTGAGGTGTTGCCTTCCGCTGCCAGCGAGCAAATACCGGATGATATTTTGAACAGCTCGGTTATGCAGCACTTGCGAGCCGCCAATGACAAGGAGACCAACAAGCAGAAGCTGGTGCATGTGCTGCACTCTAGCGGCTGCGAGCAGTTCTTGGAGCAAGCGTCCAAGCTACTGGAAAGGCTGGAGCCACTTTTCACAGCTAAGAAGGTGTCACTTGAAAAGCTCCTCGTGGAGGCTGCTGCCAGTGCAAAAGCCAAGCTGGTTAATCCCCACATGGGCATGGATGAGTTCTTGCAGTCCGCAGCCTCTGGTGAAGCTCTCAAGAAAGCCTTGAAGCAACTGCGTGCAGCGGAAAGGGACATGCAAGGCCACGGCATGCTACAGGACGGCTCTGAGCTGCAGCGCGACGTCTCTGAAGTCAAGGCGTCTTGCCGTTTGCAGATCATCAAATGGGGAATCGTGACTTTGGTCGCCAATGCCGACATCGCGGCGGACAACAGCAAGGGGAAGGGCCTCAGGAAAACTTTGCGGGACGTCTGGAACAGTCATTGTGATGATGGTGATGTCAAGAGTGTCCTGGGGCAGGCGGTAGTGGACTTGGTAGAGCAGTCGTTGGCGACACCAGAGAAGACCGAGGACCCCGGCGCCGTTGCGCCCAAGAAGCGTGGTAAAAAAAAGTAGGTCTGCGGCTGACAGCCAGCGCCACGACGACTACGAGTCACTACACGTCCGGCTGACAGCCAGCCACCTGCCAACTTTGCGCTGCAACGTCCGGCTGACAGCCAGCTCCTGCGAGCTCTGCGCTGCTGCGTCCGGCTGCCAGCCAGGCACGGCGAGTTCTGCGCTGCAGCGTAGAGAGTCTGAGTCGTTTTTGAAACTCCTCCTTTTCCTGTCGGCCCGGTTCCTAGCCCGTAGCCCCAAAGTGCGACAGCGTTCCAAGCTAGGCTAAACCGCAAAACCTCACACTCAGCCGGGCTGTCAGCAAGGGGGGTTGCCGACGTCACTGTCACTGCGAGTTGTGTGCAGAAGAAATGAGTGCCAGGGATTCATGAGTCATTCGTCATTAAATAACTTTGCTTAATAGTTAATATTGTGTGATTTTTAGTATTATTATTGTTATATAATATATATATATATATATATATATATATATAATATAATATATTATATACATATTAATTTCCGGAATTTCCGGCAAATCATGAAATTCATGAAAGCCGAATTTCCGGAATTTCCGGCAAATCCTAAAATTCATGAAATCCGAATTTCCGGAATTTCCGGCGAATCGCGAAATTCATGAAATCCGAATTTCCGGAATTTCCGGAATTTCCGGAAAATCCTAAAATTCATGAAATCCGAATTTCCGGAATTTCCGGCGAATCACGAAATTCATGAAATCCGAATTTCCGGAATTTCCGGAATTTCCGGAAAATCATGAAATTCATGAAAGCCGATTTTCCGGAATTTCCGGAAAATCATGAAATTCATGAAAGCCGATTTTCAGGAATTTCCGGAATTTCCGGAAAATCATGAAATTCATGAAAGCCGATTTTCCGGAATTTCCGGAAATTCATAGTATTGGAATGATTGGAATTATTGGAATTTCAGGAATTTCCGGAAATTCATGATATTCGAATTATCGGAATTTCAGGAATTTCCGGCAAAACGAGCAACATGAATTTCCGGATGGACGCTAAACCATCTTCCAGAAGCAAGCTCTTGGATTCACACAAGTTTAAGGTATATATAGAGATTGGACTTTAAGGTTTGAATGTTCAGGCTTACTAGTACCTACGAGTATATCCAGTACAATACACCCCCCAAAAAACATAATTCAACTAATACAACCCTAAACCCGAAAGCCCCCCGCGCAAAGAACCACTTTGAGGGAAGAAGGGGGCAAATCTCACTTGTTGGAGTACCTCAACCATATATACTAGCCACAAGACAAAATTCCCTCGGCCTGGAACAAGCCGTTGGTGATTCTGCTCCCCAAAGTCCCGTCGCCGGTGTCGCCTACGCAGCTCAGGCCGATAAAGCTCGGAACTTACCTTTGGATAGTAGGGAATGGAAGAATGGTAGTAATAGTAGTCATAATTGTACCCCATCCCTCCATTCCCTACTAACCAAAGGTAAGCACAGCCAAGCTTTTCTCCAACATGACTTTGGAGCGGATTAAGCCACAGCTGGGCTTTCGTTCCCACACCCAATGCGGTCGCAGTGGACGCCAGACGGCGGACCTTCTCTTTAGCGTGCAGAGACTCATGGAACTAGCCCGGGAGTGGAAGCTGCCGATGGCCTCGCAGAAGCTGGACATCAGCAAAGCTTTCGATTCACTCGGCAGACAAGCACTCCTACGTAGACTGCACGACAGGCTTGGGGACTCCGCAGGATGTGTCTGTCTCCAGAATCTGCTATGTGATGTCGTCGCTACGGTGCAGTCGCCATGGGCCGATGCTGTCAGGGATAAAGCAAGATTCATCGGAGAGTCCGCGATTGTTCGCCGCGGTCAAGGTAGACTCCTACATCTACGCCCCGAAACCTGAACTCCCCGAAACCTTAACCAGGGACGTACACCCCAAACCCACCTTTGTTACGGGCTCTCTCCAGAATGCCGGGAGTAATACAGGGATCTTATACATTAGCCCATCGCTATGAAGCAGATTGCATACGACAGCCCTTGGGCAACTTACCCTAAATGTACATCTGAAACCTCAACCCGGATGTTGTAGCTACTTACATTGCTTAGTAATTAGCTATGGGCTGAGGGAGTACATGACTCATATGTTGGGCTTAGGTTTTAGCATTTAGGGCCCTAGAAGCAGGCCCGACATCCCCAATAGTGCGCACCCTGAATCCTTAATGCTGAACTCCGTGCACAAAAGAAGCCAAAAGCCCCCAACCCTTGAACCAATAAGGGTTTAGGGTTTAGGGTTTTTGTAACCTCACTGCCTCACAACCGTCGGAACCATCAGGGGTTGCAAAGTGTGTGCACAGGTCCAGAACATCAACGGTCTCGGAACCAAAACCCCCAAACCCAACACTTCAGGATTAACGGGTTGAGAGTTTGAGGTTGCGGGTTTAGGTTTTAGGACTTAGTGTTGTCCAGACGGTTCAACTCTCTTAGACATTGCAGCCGTTCATTCGCCGAATGCCTTCCAGCCTGCATAAAGCCCTGAACCCCAAAACCTCAGCCGCTAACCTTAAGCCTTGACAGCCCTAAATACCATTCATGCGTGACCACAAACCCTAACCCTGAGGCCCTACACGCCAAGGCCAAGCCCCACTATCAAGCTGTGAATGAAACACAGTTCGTATCCCCCTGCAGTAGTCCCTGTCTGATCACGCCAGCTGCTTATACACCTCAATCTACTTATGCAGGCTGCCCTGAGGCCCTATGAATCTTTTCAACTCTCTAAGGCCCGCTAAAACACCCCAAAGCCTAAACCCTAAACCCCGAACTCTACACCCTGAAACCTCGACAACCCTCAGCCCCCCAAAATTTAATGTAGGGGCCTGAATAATTACCTATACTATTTTTAAATATTGGGCCACCAATCCCCACTCGGCACCAAAATTACACTGCAGCTTAGGTGCTGATCTCGTTCATCAACGGGACCATGGGGCCTGCTCCTCAGCCGTTCCGAAGCGCCCCGAAACCCCAAACTGTGCAGAGAATCTGATGTCTGAGAGATCTAGGGTTTAGGGTTTAAGGTTGAGGGCTTAGGGCTTAGATCGTATGTATCCATGGCTCCACCAAACCTGATACTCCGGCTGGGATAGGGAGGAAAAGGGCCTTCAACAAAAACTCCTTAGCGATGGCCATGCCCAGCAGCGAGTAGAAGAGAACAACGGCTGCAGGGCTTTAGGGTATTTCTACAGGGTTTAAAGGGTCCAGGGCTTTGCATGGCTGCAAGAATGGGTTCAAGATGATAATGAGTACTATTCCCTGGTAGCCCAAGTTCCGTTATAGTATAAGGTATTTTAAGACCCTGCTCGAAGTATCAATGCCTATATTATGTATATCTACCCATATGTATAAACAAATAAGTATATGTATATGTGTATATATATATACATCTATACATATATATATATATATATGTATATATGTATACACATATATATATATATGTAAATATATATATATATATATATATATATATGTGTATGTATATGTCTTTTTGTATGTATGTTGTTCATTTCATTTATGTGTTTTCGTGTTATTTGTTTCAGGGCTTAGCCCCGAAGTCTTGATACCCCCCGAGCCGAATCCCAATTAGTTGAACCTTAATACATCATTCACTGCTTTAGGGTTTAGGGGTTTCGGTGTTTAGAGAATTAAGGTTTAGGGGTTTAAGGGTTCAGGGGTTTAGGGTTTAAGGGGTTTAGGGTGTAGGGATTCAGGGGTCTGTGAATAACAAAGCTCGAGTAGTATTCCTTGGGGCTCCTTGTTATAACGGCTATATTGTAATCCCCAAGATGTTGTTGACCCTCACAGGAAGCATGCTAGACAGTCTCAAAGCCCTCCAACCCTGAGCCTCAAACTTGCAGGCATATCGACCTCATCCAGAACATGCTTCTTCATAACTTTCCTGCGGCAGCCTCAGGAAATTGATAGGAGCTGCTGGGAAAGCTAAGTTTCGCCGTTATACTACGAATACAACATACTATGATGGTTTATATGGTGCTATGACTATCGCTATGGCTAGTAATCTTGTTGCCAATATTGGCGATGGTTTATATGGTGCTATGACTGTCACTATGGCTAGTAATCTTTTTGCCAATGTTGGCACTGATTTGCTTACTGTGATTTATTGTTTGGGCGAGAAAGTGGACCGGAAGAAAACAGTTCAAGGTTTGGAAGTTCAAGCGCTCTCTTCAGCAATCTGGAGAAATGAAGTTTGGGTTTTGGTTGCAGGGCGTTGGGTTGTACGGGGATCTCGTGATTGAGCTTGAGGGTTGAAGGGCTAGAGCGCACGGTTCCCGAACAGTCCTTTTTTTGCTTTCTCTTCACCTTGGCACACCTTGGCAGCCTAGCACCGAAGACGCCATTGCTGAGGCCCTTCAACTGTCTTTGCCGATCTCAGTGAATCTGATGCACGTCGTGCAGTCGCAGCCTCAGTGGAAACGTCTCGGAACGCAGGATTTTGAGAACTCGACTGCGCAACGCGTCGGTGGTGCCTCGGCAGCCGCCAACCATCAATCCTGTGCCCGGAAAGTAGACTAAGCGAGACAAACGTAGACATACTTGTTTCTACCTTTGTGGACAGGAATTTGAAACGGAAGTTCTTGAAGTATCCACAGCTAGAGAACTCTGGCACCCTCTCCTACAACCCCTCAAACTTAACAGCCTGCAATCCAAGAGACTTCAAGAAACCGACATTCCCACCGCAGCTTCGATGCCTTGAATTCCACGCCCGGTTTGGGTGCAGGGTTTAAGGTTTGGGGAACCCGAAACCGGCACTCTGAACCCAGAACCCTTATGTCTGGGTTTCGGGGCAACAAGAGGCTGCCTTCGGTGACGAAACTGGCAAGACCTGTCTCTGATTTCTGAGGTGCTGGCAGGTGTTCGGCTGATTTTTCAAGGTGTTGGATCGCATTTAGCCCTTAACGGACGTATAGGGTTTAGGGTTTAGGAGTTGAGGGTGTGGGGTTTAGGGTTTAGGGTTTTTGTCGCGCACTGCTTGGGTCGTTGACTCTCAGTTCTGCCTATCGGGATCTGGGGCCCGAAAGCCAAGCCCCTCTTCGCAGGGGTGGGGGTTCCGTTAAAGGGATGTATAAGGGTTCCGTTAAGGGTGGGTATAGGGGATCTATGTAGGGTATATTTAGAGTTTCCGAAAATTAGGGGTACCTTATTCTGCGGTCCTTGTAATAAGGATGCTACTTTTGGGTATTAGGGTCCCCTATTTCTGGAAACTCCCAAAGTGCTCCGCAGAATATAGATCCTCACATGGGCCGTTCTCTAAGTTATTTGCCGGTCTTGCTTTTTTAGAGGGTGCCGTATCATGTTGGGGACTTAAACAGGGACCCTGTCAGCCTACATACATTTCAAAAAAAATCACTTAAAAGGCATCCATAGGATGCTATCGCAGTCCCAAAAACCCAAAGGTCCTATGTACTGTTATGGGGGATACTTCCCTAAGTCATAATGGTAATTCCTAATATGGAAACCCTACATTCTACTATATCGGTACATTGGACCCTTTGGGAAAAGCCGGCATCCGAGGCTGCTCGTTCCTGGAGTTTCCTTCTGCGGTGCCTACTTCGGCCAGAAGCCACGAGAGTTCATAAAGGGGCCTAAGTAATTACCGATACTGTTTTGGGGGTTCCTTGTTATAACTATAGTATAATAATGGGGCCCAAAACCCTGTTCTAGTTGTTAAGGCCCCTATAGTAGAACATGGCCAAGGAAACAGATAAACGTAACATGTTGAAACCCCTCTGTGTAGGGATAACGCTTGAACTTTAAGCTGAAGAGTTCCGGTAGAAGCCGTTGTCAGCTTTAGACCTTGACCCAAAAAGTCCTGAAACCCAAAGCCGTAAAACCCTAGCCTTAACCCAGGTGATCTCTGTTTCCGTGACGGAGGTCTATGAAGTTATCGCAGCCCTTGAAGTCCCGCAGATGCCTTCGACAGGACTTTCAAGAAGCCCTAGACCCTGAACCTAAAGCCCCAAACCCTAAAGCTAAATTTTCAACTACAAACCCCCGCAATTTTTTGTAACCCTAAACCCCAAAAAACCTAAACCTCTAATCCCTAAACATCCATGAGCCCTAAATGCTACTTGGAGGATCATGGGTAGTTGTAAGTAGGGCTATATGTGGGGTAACTATACTTATAACCCATATTCGGGGACTTATAAAGCCACTTATAACTACCCATGAACCTCCAAGTAGACCCTAAACCCTATACCCTTGTAGAATCTCATAGATCCCTTCATAAAGGGACACTTAACGGAACCCTTATAGATCCATAGCTCCTCGGGCCGCGCCGAGGCTGGCAGCACCTGAAGATGCAACGGAAAGTCATGGTGGAGGCGATGAAGGGCTTGGGATTTGGGGTTCCGGTATAGGTTTTAGGGTTTAGAGTTTAGAGGTTTAGGGGAGCCCGATAGGCGGTCGAGGGTTTCGGGTTCTGGGGTTTCGGGGTTGAGGTCTAGAGGTTGTGGGAAGCCCGATACCGAACTTTCCGAGACCCTGCAATCACAGGCACAGCTCTTCAAGTTCCAAAGTCCTCCAGCTTCGTCCTCCGGTGATCCGCGAAATGGATTAAATTCGGAGGCCTCACAAGGTGGGATGAAGGTAGGTGGGATTAAGGATCCCTTGTATAAGGACTCTTATTTGGGAATATCCCACCTACCTTCATCCTTCCTTTTGAGGCCCCCGATAAATTGCATGATGTTACAGATTGTCGCTCGCGACCCTCTGACTGAAGGACCGACGCACTGCCAGCGGCCATGTTCTACAGTAAACCCTGAACAGATAGAGGGCCGGGGCTCTTTGCCAAAGGGTCATGAGTCATAAGTACCTAAATGGTAGAATGTAGGGTTTCCATATGTATATACCTATATATATATATATATATATATATATATATGTATATATATATATATATATATAAGGAACTGCCATTATGATTTGGGAAAGTATCCCCCATAGCAGAACCGAGGACCCTTAAGTTTTGGAACAGCCTGCAAGAGGCGTACCAGCGGGAGCTGATGATGATGTTGGCATCTGCGGCCTGTTTGTACTTTCGCTTCCTTTGGGCCTGAAGCCGTATTTGGAGGGTTCGTTTAAGGGCCCCTTTACAGGGATCTATAGGGATTCTATGAGGGTATAGGGTTTGGGGCCTACTTGGAGGTTCAGGGGTAGTTATACGTTCGGTTATATGTGTAGGGTAACTATACTTTAACCCATATTACGGGACTTATAAAGCCGTTTGTAACTAGTCATGAACCTCGAAGTACCATAGTGCCAATACTATTTGGGGGTTCCTTGTTATATTTATAGTAGAGTGGGCCCCAAAACCCGAGTCTAGTCTAACTGTTAATGAAGGCCGGATCCCCCTTATAGATCCCTTCAGGACCCCTCTAAAAGGATCCCTTAAAGGAACCCTATTCTAATTCTGAAGGCCCTAGATTAGCTTCTTGTTCAGGAGTTTAATTTAAGTTACCATCATAGGGTTCTATAGTAAATAATAGGGTTTCCTTATTATGGTAACATAATTTAAATTCCTTGGCAAGAAGCCAGTATATTAGTGCTGAGCCCCGAGCCAGGAACATCCGCCTTGGCCGCCGCCCCCTCTCATCCCGTTGTCGCACACTCAGTAGTTTGAGTTTGCGTGTTCTTGGTGACTACGTTCTGGGGTTTCGGGGTTTTGGGTTTTGGGGTCTGGTGTCGAAGGTTTGGGTTTGGGTTTAGTCATTGGGGGTTTAGGGTTTAGGGTTGGAGGTTTCGGATCCTTGGTGAGAGAGTCGTCATGGTAGACTTGGGTTTCTAAACGACGATCAGGGTACATATTCTTATTGTTTGACGGGTGATACCCAAAATCCCCAAGGTACTTGGAGTGCGGGGGACTTAGTAAGTAGGTAGTAAGTAGACGTATAAGTATCCTAAAAGGGACCCTAATTGGGGTTATGGTACTTATAAGTCCCTAAAATAACCAGTTACTAAGTCCCCCGACCCTCCAAGTAGAATTCCTTGCAAGGCCTGGCATGCCTCCCGGTGCGCTGCCTCCCGGGCCCATGGGCCCGCCCCCCTCCATGGCGCCGCCGCGCAGCCAGTGAGGCCAGGGCAGTGGTGCAGGGCTTAGGGGTTTAGGGGGGTTTTGAAGTTGAGAGGTATAGGGGTCTAGGGGTTGAGGGGTTTCTGGGTTAAGGGCTTAGGGGTTCATTAAGGGCGGTGTTTCTAGAACGCATCTTATCCTGGCCCTCACAGGCTGTCTGTCGTTTTGCGTACCTAAGACCCTCGACAAGGACTCGGTGGTTACCACCTGGTTAGTCACTTAGCATTTGCTTCCTGATGAAGCCCGAGCCTGAGTTAGGCCTTCTGAGGTGTAGGAGTTAGGGGCCAAGGGTTAGGGGTTTAGGAGGTTTCAGGTATGGGATTTGTGGTTAGTCAAGCTCAGCGGAAGTCCCGGACCCCGGCTAAGGCTCAAGGTCCTAGTAGCGCCTAGCAGAGTCTCTCTGTGGGAAGCTACAGATGTTTTCTTGCCAAGCTATGCATGCATTGCTCGTTGCAGGGGAGACCTCTGCGGCAATCCCGAATGAACCCAAAGGCCCAAAACCCTGGACCTAAGTCCCAAACCCAGCAGACTCTGTTTTTTGTGGCACCTGTCTTTTTGTATTGAACGACCCTACCCGTAGAGTTGGTATACCCCAAAAGCAGGAAGTACGACGGAGACTGCATAGAAATGCTACGCCCACAACCCCAGAAAAGCTTTAGATTTCACTTTCCGAACCCCTATAACCCCATATAGCCTACACCCCTGTAGCCCTATACACCATAACCCGATATCCCTAGACCCCTAAGTCCCGAAGTCCCAAACCCTAAGCCCTAAAGCCACAACCCCAAAACCCGAAAAACCCCCCAAGTCCCAAACCCTAAACCCTAAAACCCCGCCCCCCAAAAAAGGCCCTCAGAAAAATCAACCACCCTTTTGGAGGCGTGGAAGTTCTTCCGCAACGGGAAGGAGCGAAGTTGGCCCAGAATTCTGCGGCCTGACGGAGGGGGCCAGGTCGCTATCGCTCCGGGGTCCTGAATAACGCACCTGTTTATGCGTAAAAAGAATATATATATATATATATATATATATATATATATGTATGTATGTATACATATATATATATATATCTTTATATATCGTTAATAGGAATAGTAGTAATAGTAACAACGAAATTTATGAATGAACTGTGAGTCATAATATGATCTTGAATGATTGCTCATGCGAATAATTCCTAGTAACTTAGTAGGGTCTCTATAGCATGTTACGTATTGCAGAACCCTAGTCTAACTTCTAAACCCTAGGGTGCTCTTGGAGACGTAAACCGCGTCATTCCCTAATGCTTCGCCAACCCTAACGGTCCATGTACCCATATAGTCATATAGAGATACATGAGCCCCAAAGTACCTATATAGGGACTACATTAAGGCCAATGCATAGACTATATGAGTGCATGGACCCTTAGGGCAAAGAATCGAAGCCGCCTGGCTCCCTCAGATCTGCATCGAGGGCGGAGCTGTTAATCTCGACCTGTGAGGTCTGAGAGCCTTTAGGGAACGCAAGTTTAGGTCTTGTAGCAGATGGCATTACATTAATTCTTCGAAGTTGCCGGAATTCATCGCGGGGAATGAGTAGGGGATTGCAGGGTGGAATGCCCCAAGACAGAAGTGGTTAGGGCTCCGGGTTTAGGGTTTGGATCGTTTTTAGGGATTACCTATAGTCTCCATTGTAGTTCCTTTTTGGGGTTACGTCTCAGGATCCTTAATATAAGACTGGTTAAACCAAAAAAAGGAACTACAATGGATACTATAGGTAAGGTCAGGTACCAAGGTTTGAAGTGTTATGATACAGTGTTTCCTGCCTAGGCCATAGAGCTACAACCTAGAAGCCCAAGTTTTCTGGCAGTATTGCTTTCTTGTTCATGGGTATGCTTGTATTACGGTTTCGAAAAATTGTTGTATGTTTAAACAGCTATTGATGTTGTTTGTCGGTAGCTTTCATCTGTCTCTTATTAGTGGTGGCGTTGATGGTGCTGATGGTGATGGCAGGTTACGCTGATAACAGCACTGCATACTGTGTGACCATCGTGATGACCTATACGGTTATGGTAATGGTGATTGTGAGTGGTGATGTTGTGAAAGAAGATGCTGCTGCTGGTGGTGATGATGATTCATGATGATGGTTCACGATGCAACCTGACTTTTTTGTGTTTTGTTGTTGTGTGTGTCTTTGGCGGAGGGCTGGTGTTTGTTGTGTTTTCTGCTGATGGTGCTAAATCTGTCGCTTATCAAGTGATTGGCACTGTCATAGTTGCGTCGCGGTATTTTGTTAGCTTGAGTAGTCCTGATCTAGTTGAGAAGTGTGGTTTACAGTCATGATGATGGTAGCGATCATCCATCGTGCGGTATCTTATCACTGTCATCGCCAGTATAGACAGAGCATCACCGCCTTTCAAGCTGTATGCCTGTATTAGGATGTCCTTAAGGGGGGGTGGTCCAAGGGGGGTAGGTAACCTAGTAATCCCCATTATTCCCCCATACTCCCTAAGCTTCCCTAAGGTTCCCCAAAGCTCCCTAGTACCCTCCCCCCTTGAACCACCCCCCCCTTAAGGATCCTATAACTGTATGCCCTAACTTAACACCTTATCCAGATGACTCTAAGCCCTGTGTCCGAAGCCCGAAACTCGACACTCTATACTTTGAGGTTCGTGGGTAGCTTATAAGTAGGGGTTATAAGTCCCCTAATAGGGGGTATAAGTATAGTGACCCTACTTATAACCCCATTTTTTACTAACCATGAACCTCCAAGTAATCCTCAGTCCTTAACCTTCTACCGAAGCCCTAACTAAATCTGTTACGTACCCTAAGTCAAGCCCTAAACTCAACAGAACCAGGTACAAAAGCCATAAACAAGATCCAGCAAGACCCCATGATGAAGCGCCTTAACCCTGGACCCCAAGCTCTATAAGGCTATCAGCCCTAAACCCTAAAACCTAAACTCACAGCTTTACAAACCCTGGCACTCTGTTTGCTGCTGCTCTTCGCGCACGCGTTCCTCCAAGGGCTCCCGGCCGATGGTGCGAACTGATGACATGGCTCTTCCGAGTCTCCTTTGCTGAGGGTTTTGGGGGGTTTGGGGTTTAGGTTCCTTTCCGGTTATTGTAAGGGCCTTATTATGTGTGTGGGGTGTTTCCATCACATGAGAGTTCGTGGGGTCTAGAAGGGAGGTCAGCGTGTACAGGGGTTTAGAGGGGCTGTATGGCAAAATCCTAAACTTAGGGGTACTTAGAAATAGTTTTTAATTTTTGGTAATTATAATTCCTAAGAAACGGCTAAGATTATGATTTTTGCTAGGGTTCTAGGTTCAGTATAGTAAACCCTAAACCCTTTACAGTATGGGCTTTCGGAAATCATCTTGGGGCTTAGCCTGTTGGATTTACCGTGGCTTTCGGGTTCCTGGACTCCGCATTCTTACTTAGTACCTATAGTCTCCATTGTAGTTCCTTTCCGGGGTTACCTTATAGGCTCGTAAATATACATATTTTTTAACCAAAGAAAGGAACTACATTGGAGACTATAGGTAGGTACTTTAGCAGGGATTAGGGTTCCCATGATAGGGTTCATATTCAGGAATCCCTACCCCAAGAATCTTAAACCCCACTTTTGGCCTCCCATCACTGTGCTGAGGGTTTGGGGTTCCGGGGTGTGCCAGGCTGCGGACTTAGGATTCACTGTTTTTTTTGAGCTGGCTGTGAAGCCTGTTTGTGCTTTGGATTAGGGTTTAGGGTTAAGGGGTTTAGGGGTTTAGGGGTTTAGGGTTTAGGGGTTTAGGGTTTAAGGGATTAGGGTGAAGGGTTTTGAGAGTATGTTGTCGGTTTAGGGCCGCATGGTCAGATGAGGAGCAAGCAAGAACGGATGAGCTGTGTCGTCGGAGATGCATGCGAATCTGAGCTGAGAATGTGGGGCTAAACCCTCAGCCCCAAAGCCCTGAAAAAGCCGGAACCAATAAGCAGCGTGTAGCAGTGTAGAGGCATGCAAAAGCAAGTCTGAACCCCAAACCCCTCAACTGTAAACCTGACAGGCGAGAACCCGAAGGTTCATTGGCTGCCTTCAAATAAGCACACCTTCGCCTACTGGAACCTGGCTTCTGAAGGGTCCATACAGAGTCCAAACTAGGAGCATAATCTCAACGACCTCCAAAAACAAAGGTTGTAGTAGCAAGGTTGTAGTAGCTTGAACACAGGCGCAAAGCTCGTAAGCTCTGAACCACTGAACACGTGAACCTCTAAGCCGCTAAACCCTCATCTGTTAAAGCCCTACCCCGCTAAACCCGAAACGCTATGGTAAGGCTCCAACTATATGGGTAGTTGTCAAAATTAAGGGTCCCTGTTTGGGTCCTTATTATAGTACGGCACTTAATATTTAGGGTACTCAAAAAGGGACCATAATTTGACAACCACCCATATAAGCCCTACACGGAACCCAGACGGAACTTTAAGCTGAGCCCTCAACTAAATCCATTATCTGCCAAGTTAAGCCCTGAACTAAAGAGTAAGCTAAACCCCAAACTCAACCCTCAGCCCCAAAATGTTTGCTAGAAAGGGCCCCTACTTCGCACCTCAGATTCGCTCGTCTGTTCGCGGTTTGGGCTTTATTGGGCACTGCTGTCGGCCTGGAGCGTGAACTCAGGCATTTTTGGGGCAATCTTTAAAGGTTTCTGCAGGGGTTCCTTCAAAGCTTCCTTCAAGGGCCCGTTCAAGGGTTCCTAGACGTTCGATATGTGTTCCTTGAACGTGCAGGGTCTTAGTCGGGCCATTGATTGAGAGTGTGGGACATGGTTCGGAGAGTTTGGTGGTTCATTGAACAAGATGAGTACTTAAATAGTAGGGAGCTCATTATAAGAACCCCCCCAAAAAAGATACCCCTCATTTTCGGAAACTCCCATATCCTAGTCCAAACAGTCAGAGTGCCGTCAACTTCAGGATCTATCCAAACCCTAAGCGACTTCAACAGCCACTGGGCGCCGAATATCCAGAGCCTGGCAAACATAGTGTTGATGATATAAATCCTGCATTACCCATAACAAGGAATATACCATTATTCCCATAGTTTAGCGTCCTTAAGGTAATGCAGGATTTATATCATCAACCGTATTGTAACACATGAGATTTCTGAACCTCGATCTGGTAGCGATGCTGTTTGTTCTGCCATCGCCATCGGGGAGGTGGCCTTGTGGTTGCTGCAGTTGTCGTACCTGGGATTGGGTTTTGATCGGTTTGGCAGAAGCGATTACTGTCATAGGTTCAGGGTTTAGGGAAGTTTAGGGTTGATATATCCTAGCTCTCCTCCTACTAGTGCACATGGTTTAGCCAGGAAGGATGAGGGAGGCTTCTAGCTAGCTCGAGAGATGTTCCAATTTCTGGCCGCGGATGTCAGATGCCGTGATGGTGTGCTAGAGTTCCGCAGCTTCCAGGCACGCCGCAGGGCCTCTCGCGAAATTGAAGGTTGCTGCAGTGAGGTTTCTTGCAGGCTCCAACTTTGTCCAACCGTCTCCCGCAGGAAGTAACCTTAAACCCTAGACCCTAAACCCCTAGTAGAGAATCTTAAGCTAACTATTCCCGCTGGAAACCTCTGCACACCCAAAGGCCTGACATCCTGCAACCCAGCAACTATAGTCTCCTTAGGAAGTATTGTTTGTTTTTGTTCATATAAAACCCAAGAGAATATTAACATGATATTCTTATTGTGGTTCTAAGGGGGGTATAGCAACAACTACACCCTGAAATGCAAGACTGAAGACTTGGGTTTCAGCAAGTCACAGCCATGAACGGCTGAGGGCGCTTATTTGGATGTGGGATCGGTGCGTCCAAGTATGGAGTCCTTGGGATCCTCAAGGTTGACCCAGACCCTGAACTGCAGTACCGATTTTGACTACCATGTTTTCTGGTTATCGGAACCTATAGCCTATAAGTTGGCACCCAAAAAAGCATTATACAATTTCAGGGGGCCTCTCCGGCAGATTGGGACTGCGCGATGAACTTGCACCGTTAAGGGCATTAAGCAAGGCCTGCCCCGGGGAAGAACAGCAGTGACATAGTGAATCCTGATAATGAGGAATCAAAGGCTGCTTCTCTTTTCTTACCTTTGGTTAGTAGGGAATGGAAGAATGGTAGTAATAGTAGTTATAATTGTATCCCATTCCTCCATTCCCTACTATCCAAAGGTAAGTTTTCTGTGTGCTTCTTCTAAGCCCTGGAAATCCTTGCGCCCTGAGGCTGCTACGGGTTCGGGTGTTGAGGGTGTGGAGTCTTGGCTTTGCGTCTACTGGGCTTTCTACGCTGACCACCGAAAGCCATAAGTTTAATCCCAAGATACCAAGTGAATCCTGATCTTCTAAACTCTAGCCTTAATGTGTTGTAGTCAGCAAGCTTACTGCAGAGAATCTGCGACCTTCATCGCTTGGGCCGGTGTTTCCGTAGTGCATGAGGGAGTGGGTTGCGGGGACAGGGAAGCGACAGCATAAGGATGAGGTTTCGGATGCGCTGAAGAAGAGCAAGCAATCAAATTTCGTTCCGGAGCTCATTTGTAGCCGTCGATGTGGCTTAGTACGAGAAGGAGGACAACGACGATGTCTGCAACGACGCTACCGAAACCCGTTACAACTTGTGATACAGTAACAGCGACCGGTCGGATGCAGGAATGGCAGCAGTCGTGCGTGCAGTCTCAGCCACGGTCGCCTTCGCCGTCGCAGTCGTCGTCGCAGCAGAAATCGTCTGCACCGTGCTGTAGTTGTCGTGAATCGCCAAAGTGAGACAGCCTCAATGACAACAACAGACATGAGCGGTATGAACGAGAAGACACGCACCTCTTCAACATCCGGGGTTGCTCGGACACGGATCCCTTCCCTCATGCTGTACTGCGAATCAATCAGCCAGGTAGTCAGGATTGCATAAGGCTAGTTGCCCTGGTCTTCGACGGGCGACGGTTTCCGGCAGGAAAAGGCAGCTCACAGTCTGTAATTTGCTAGCTATCCCCGGCGCGAATGGTCTTGACGTCCCGTTGGTGGAAAGACCTATATAGTTTGTGGTCAGGGTCCTGCAATACAAGAAGGTACCCCCAAACCAGACCTGCACCCAGCGAAGTTGCGTAGTGTGGAAGTCGCCCTGCTGCTGTGGTATGCATGGTACGAGCTTTAAAATCAACTGGTAACTTCTGGGACTCTCTGATCCGAAATTCTATGTCAACATCCTACTTTCGTTTAGCCTTAACTCTGACCTCCAGACGGCAAGCTCGGAGCAAACAACAAGTATGCCAGCTTTCACGGGCATGCACACCCGAGTCCTTGCTGAAATATAATGACATGCCCTTTTTAGATCAAGTCTTCGGCCTTTCTCCTGCAAACCTACTCTACTATAGACCCAAAAGCCTGATGCTAGTTATCAAGGCCACAACATCCAGAGCCCCATAGGATTTCTTCGGTTTGAACCCGTAGGCCAATATCAAACCCTGGAATTTGTGGGTTTGGGGTGTATGGGCACAGGTTGCTTGCATCCACAACAAGCGGGTTGAGGATTCTGAGTTTAGGATTTCGAATCTCGGCACCGTAGGCCCTTGCAGTACCCTTGCAGCACCGCCCTTCTCAGTAGCCTTATAGTAGCCTTTACAGTGACCCTGACCCTTATCGAGTAACCCATGTAATCGCCCTTCTAATAGGAGCCAACAAGTTCAGTTCCCTCTGAATGTGCGACCTCTACAAACTGTACGCCCTAAACCCCTACTAACTCTAAACTAGAAAACCATACAAGCCCTCGACACTAAGATCCTACACCCAGACAAACCCCAACCAACAGTTTGCCGCAGCATTGGCTTTCAATCAGTGCTTGCCACGGTGCACGCCTGGCCGCGATGGTCTTCCTCATTACCGCGACCCTGGCTTCCGTTATCAAGCCCAGTGTTTTGTTACATCGAGGTTTGAATAATACTGTTGTAGATATTGGTATCCCCTCACAGACAGCACGTACAAGCTTATGCCATGCTGTGCATTAAAAGTCTGTTCTGTCTATTGAGGGCTCCAGCACTTGGGGTTGGATGGGCTGCGGGGTTCAGGGTTTTGGGGTTTCCATTCTGGCGTTTAGGGTTTCGGCAGGTTCATGGTTTCGGGTTTCGAGTTAGGGTTCGAGGCTCGGAGGATGCAGGTTCGAGGACTTGCTGGTTCTTCTGATAGATTCTAACTACCTCTGAATCAGTTTCGGTTCAATGAAGCTCTTCGGCATGGAATCTTGACTCAGTTTTTGTAGCTTAGAGGGTTGGATGTCCCTAAGCCCCCTAAACATTGCTGTACGCTTCGCGCTGCGGCCAGGGTGCTATTGTTTCTGCGACTTGCACAGCAACCGCTACCCTTGCCGGTGCTGGGGCCTCAAACATTGGTCGTGAGCGCTTTCGTCGAAAACTTTCGGCTCGGGGTGCCTACTTGGAGGTTCATGGGGTAATTATAAGGGTTCCTTTAACGGTCCCTTGAAAGGGATCTATACGGATTCTATAAGGGTAGAGGGTTTAAGTAATCCTAATCATTGTTTTAAGTTCGACTGTGCAGCCAATCCATTCTGCATACTGCATATACTCTAGAATCTCTAGAGGCCGCAGAAAGCCTGAAGAGAGTGATGTAGTGATCGGAATAATTGGTAGTAGCATCCCCCTACAGTACCAGTATACCTGGACTTCGGAAGGAGTTGGCACAAGCGAGACGTGCCGGGCCGAATCCTCCCGGGGTGTGGGGTGGGGTCTCTTCAGAAGAGTAGGGGTCTCGGGGTATACATATTAAAGAAATTGCACGTGGAATAGAAGGTGAGATCCCTAAACCTGAAAACCCCTCCTAAACCCTAAACCCTACTGTTGATGATTTGAATCCTGCATTACCCACAACAAGGAATATACCATAATTCCCATAATCCAGGTTCCTTAAGGTAATGCAGGATTTGTATCATCAACCCTAACACCTTAAACCCTACTTTATTGCAACCCCCGTGCTTCCCGATCCCCTGCGCAGCATTGGCCACCAGTGTCTTCGTCGTTCCCCGTAGCGTTGTACTTGGAGGTTCCTGGGTAGTTATAAGTAGGGTTCTAAGTAGGGTAACTATACTTATAACCCATATTAGGGGACTAGGTAGGGTTGTTTGCTTTCCCGAGCTCGCGTCCGTTTGGTTTAGGTTTTTGGACAGTTTTGGATTATTCCGGGTAAAATGAAGTTCAATGCTTTGAGCTTATGCCTGTGTGGGGGGTTTTGGGATTTTGGGTTGGAAGAGACACAAATATCCATGAAGCAACCGCAACCCTCAGCCCAAAGTGCACAACCCAAACCCTTCCATTTCCTAGCATCCTTCGCAGGTAGCGGTTTCATCCGATTCCGTTCGAAAGAACTGGGCTGTGGCCTCGGCATTGGGTTTTTGAATTGAAGCATCGTCCATCACGATCCTTGCAAGGCCTTCATGACAACACTGTTGAAACGGATAGCAACGCAGGTTTCGTAGCGTTGTAGGTTCCAAATAGCTCCAGTTCCTGTGGGTGCCAGGACTAGAGACGGTTTAGGGTTCAGGATCTCGATGGTGGGGTCTAGCACAGGCTTATGATTTCGCTTTGGCATTTCGAGTCTGGGATGTGGGGATCATGGCTTCGAGTTGGCTTCGAAGTCCGAGGCTGTAGGGCGTACCATCTAAGAACTTTAAACCCTAAACACTTTCAGCAAATGCAGCCATACGCCTCGTGGTAATGATGCTGAACCGGCCATTGTAACTATAATGCACCATAACCTTCCCCAAAATCCTAATCCGCACACCCTGAGTTGAACTCTCGACCCTACATTCAACAGCGGCATTCTTCTCCTTAGTACCCTTGTGATCAAAGTATCCCCAAACCCTTGCATAGTATGGTCTTTGGGCCCAAAAGCCTTAATATATGAGTCCTTAGAGTTTCAGGATACAGTAGAAGCCGAAAAGTTGGAAACCCAATAGCCTCAATCCTTAAGAGCAAGTTATAGGGAAGCCTTTATGGGGTTTACTGTAGTTGAGTCGGTACCTTCAGGCCTGGATAATACCTCCAGCGTAAAGAACAAGCGAGGCCTCCTTTGGAGCTGGGGCACTCCAAACTCGCGGATAGGGGTTTAGGGGTTTAGGGGTTTAGGGGTTTAGGGGTTTAGGGGTTTAGGGGTTTAGGGGTTTAGGGGTTTAGGGGTTTAGGGTTTAGGGGTTTAGGGGTTTAGGGGTTTAGGGTTTAGGGTTTAGGGGTTTAGGGTTTAGGGTTTAGGGGTTTAGGGTTTAGGGGTTTAGGGTTTAGGGTTTAAGGGTTTAGGCTTGAGGGTTTAAGGGTAGGGGTTTCGGGTTTAGGGTTCGTTCCTTCAGGGAGTGAGGCCTACCGAGTTATAAGCGGGGTTATAAGTCCCTAATACGGGTCATTAGTTGCCCTGCTTATAACCTTACTGATAACTACCCATGAACCTCCAAGTAGTTTCCAGCGCAGTTCATTTTTTGGGGTTTAACAAACAGTTTATATTTGGGATCCTAAAGGGTTGCCCCCAAAAGGAACTACTACGGACTATATGTAAACGTTTTTACTTTCTATCAGATACTCCAAGCTTACCTGAACCCCACAGAGTATCCTACCGTTGGGGGGTCCTTGTTATGATTTTTTGTTTCTGTGGTGTCAGACAGGTCGGTTATTTCGGGCTAAGGTAAACTCTAACCTGCCTAAAGCCTTTCTAAACCTCAGAACCCCAAACCCAAATACTAAGAACTCGATCTCTGCTGAGGTCCGGGATCTAATTTTCCGCCGTCGCAACCCTGTTCGTCGCATTTCACAACAGGTCTCCGGCCCGGAAAGCCTGAGCGAAGCGTAGGGTTCAGCGGGAGAGTTGAGGGCATTTCGAGAGGTTTAGGGCTTCAGGCTGTTGCGTTTGAGGTTTAGCGGCCTCGAGTTTAAGAGAGGCTTGCAAGGCTCCTGGCTTTTGGGCTGTTAGGCTTGCTGTCTAAGGCTTTACTCGAGGTTCATAGTGTTCGGCTTTCAGGTTCAATTCTAGCGGTATTGACGTGTGGGAGCCTTAATATGAGTTAAGGTATACTCCCTGTTTACGGGACATTGGAGTATCTTGGCCTGGGGGCCCATTACACTATAGTTATAATAAGGTATTTCCAAAATAGTATTGGTAAGTATTCGCATCCCTATATAAGCCTTTAAGGGCCTGAACCAGGTTCAGAGCAATCCGCCGCAGGCCGTTGGCCGAGAAGCCTAGAGCGGCTATGCCTAGACACGACCCCCCCCCTAAAACTCGATAGAACTTGTCTTTAGGGTTGAGGGTTCAGGATTTAGGGTTTGAGGTTTAGGGTTTAGGGTTTTGGGTTGTAGAACTTTTCCGAGAAACCTAGACCCCACACCCGAAAGGTCAAGAAAGCCAAACTGCTCGAGCCATCAATCCCCCTCGCCCGCCCCTCTACTGTTCGGGCGTTTGGGATTTACCTTAACCCACCAAACCCTACTGTTTTGTAGGTTCTTATTATAAACCCTAATATGGAGTCTAAAGGGGCCCTACAAAAATGACCCTACTGTTTTGTAGGTTCTTATTCTAAACCCGAATACGGAATCTAAAGGGGCCCTACAACAATAAAGAGGCTTGGGTAGGTTAAGGTACGGTCTCGGGTTCGGACCTGAACTCCAGGTCCTCGCCCTAAACCCTAAACCCCTAAACCCTAAACCCTGAACCCTAAACCCTAATAACCCTAATAACCCTAATCCCTAAATACTAAACCCTAAACCCTAAACCCCTAAACCCTAAACCCTAATAACCCTAATAACCCTAATAACCCTAATCCCTAAACCCTAAACCCTAAACCCCTAAACCCTAAACCGCACGGCAGGGTGGTGGCGTTGAGTTTCACTGCTTAGTCTGGAATGGACTCTCTTGGTTGGAGTGGAACCGGCCTCAGTTTCAGGGATGTTTTCAGAGCGTTCGTTGGTTAACGGAGTTCCCTAATCCCTAGACCCTAAACCCTAAACCCTAATCCCTAATCCCTCTATGGGTTCAGGGGTTTCGGCTTTGGAAATTTGGGAGTCTCGGCCCTAAGATATAAACTGTGGGAGCTAGGCTAGAGTCTAGAGCGTACTATGAGGGGTTGAGGGATCTTTTTCGGGCTCCTCAAAGGGTGTCGAAAGGAGGCTCCAAGGGGGATCGAGTTGCGGTTGATGTGAGAGTTTCTAAGTCTCAGAAAACTGGTGTGCCCGGTTTCGCGGATCCTTGCACTAGGTGTCCTTCTATTTTGCGTTTCTCTTTTTCGGGGTTCCCGTATTTGATGAAACTCGCAGATTGCGATCGCGTACAATGCAGGACTCTTTTCATACGATGGAAGCCTGAACAACTGCCATTACACTATTCCCGAGCGTTTCTTACACTATGTATACCAGCTTTTATACAACCACTCTAACTGTTAAGGCTCCCACGTCAATAAAGTGGTGTCTTGTGGTGTCGATTCGTGTCTTGATGTGCCGGTCTTCCACGAGTTTGGGGTTTCGGGTCCGGGCATCCCCCACTTGGAGGCTCATAGGCATAGGCAGTTATAAGTAGGGTTATAAGTAGGGTACTTATAACTCATATTAGGGGACTTATAACTACCCATGAACCTCCAAGCAGGCAACACCACCAAAGAGAGGCACCCTATGCTCGAGACATTATGATGAGGACCCAGAGTAGGCCCTTATTCCCTTTTTTGGCGGTTCAGGGTCCCTTATAACTCCCATTAGACGACAAAGGGCACCCTTTTTATTCCTTGGTTACCCTTAGGTCTAGATGAGACTGCCCATGAACAAGGAAGAGACGCGCGGCGGTCGAAGCGAGTTTATTCACGGTCATGACACGGGCTGCTATCGAACCCTGAGTAATTACCGACGATATTCCGTAGGGTTCCTTTTATTTCTATTCTCTTGAGTTCCCTATTCTAATCCTTAAGCTACCAAAACCGACTTTTTGGTAGGTTCCTATTATAAACCCCAATATGTGATTTATAGCGACCCTACTCTTTTGTAGGTTTTGGTGGGTTAAGGACCATTAAGGCCCTTTCAATCAACTCCCTTCTCAGTGTGGTTACCATCTCTGGCGACCTCCTCCTCTTGAGCGGCCGCAGAACCATGGGTGAGGAGGGCCCTGGATTTGCGGAGATCGATGTTTAGGGTTTTAGGGGTTTTAGTCAGGGGTTTAGGGTTTTAGGGTTTCAGGGGTTTAGGGTTTTAGGGTTTAGGGTTTTAGGGGTTCAGGGTTTGAGGTTCAGGCTTCATGGGTTTAGGGTTTTCGGTGTTTAGGGTTTATGGGTTTAGGGCTTTCAGGTCTAAGGTTTACGGGTTTAGAGCTCAGGGTGTAGGGCTTGAGATGTATAGCGTCCATGGAAATCGGCCTGAGAGGCATTTAGCTTTCTGTGCCATGCCGGAGTTGCTCTTTGCATGAGCTGAGGTGGAGGCCTGTGTTGAGTCTTGGATGGACTAAACCCTACACCCTGCAAACCCTGAACCCTTAAGTGGCCCTAAACCCTATAAACCCTAAACCCCCAAACCCTAAACCCTATAAGCCCTAAACCTTATAAACCCTAAACCCTATAAAAGTTATAAACCCTAAACCCTATAAACCCTCAACCCTATAAACCGTAAACCCTATAAACTTTATAAACCCTAAACCCTATAAACCCTAAACCCTATAAACTTTATAAACCCTAAACCCTATAAACCCTAAACCCGATAAACTTTATAAACCCTAAACCCTATAAACCCTAAACCCTATAAACTTTATAAACCCTAAACCCTATAAACCCTAAACCTTTTAAACCCCAAAACCGATACCGTGTTCGGGAGGTGTCCCATCTTGATAGTTGCATGGATTTGAGCCTCGGAGGGCGCCCCAAATTGGAGTTTCCGAAAATTGGGGGTACCTTATTTTGGGGTCCTTATTACAAGGATCCTACTATTTAGGGATACTATATTAGGGTCCCCAATTTTCGGAAACCCCCAAATTGTAGCGATCGCCAGCAATTTTGAAGGCCTTTCGGCCTTTCGGTGGCAAGCAGAGACGCAAGCCGTACGGTTGATGATATGAATCCTGCTTTATTCATGGAATACACCATAATTCCCACAGTTTAGGGTCCTTGAGGTAATGCAGGATTTATATCATCAACCGTAACACCTGAACCGGAAACGCATCACCTCTCATCCTGAAAAGTAAGTCCATGTCTATAGGCCCGAAGCCGCTAAAACCTAACTTCCACCCTCTCAAACAAAAGTCGTACACCTGATGACTCAGAGGCCTCGAAAGATGGGATGAAGCTACCCTAAGGCCCCAAGGTAGTTCCTTTTGGGATTACCTTATAGGATTCTATATACGAACCCCCCAAAAGGAACCACTTTGGGGCCTTAGGGTAGGTAGGATGATCATAAACGGATCCCTATTTGGGATAACCTGAGTAGCCCACCTACCTTCATGCCACCCTTGGAGCCCTTTGCGTAACTCCAAACCCTGAACCCTCAACCCTCAACCCTAAACCCCTAAACCCTAAAACCCTAAACCCTAAAACCCTAAACCCCTAAACCCTAAAACCCTAAACCGCAGGAAGCTTTCCTCCTGAGTGATGCGGATGTCTACGACCACGAAGTCAACGTGGCGATCGTTTTCAAGGCAGGAAAAGGGTTGGTGCGATTTTGGGTTCAGGGTTCTAAGTTCTAGGGGTAATTCTTGCTTTGGGGTTCTGTGTCTCGGCGTGCACATATACATATACATATATATATATATATGTGCATACAAAGTTGAATAAGTAAGCATGTCTGCATGTATGCATGTATGTACGCATGCATGCATGTGTCTTTTTCGTTTCTCTGTACACGTACGTACGTTTGTACATCTCCCTCGGTCTGTCCGTCGATGTCTCTGGGTCTCCCACTTGTGAATGTGCGTGACCTCTCTCGTTGCCAGTAGGATCAGTGGCTTAGGGGTGCAGGAACAAAATAGCAGTGACAATAAAAACCAAAATAAATAACAACAATTTTAGCAGCAACAGGAACTGTAGTAGGATTATAATAAGAATATCTATTCTTCTAGTAACGATATGGAGGTGTTAGGCGCATAGGTGTGACAGTGGAATCCCAGCAGCTTGGGTCTGAATCTACTGGCCCCCCTAAACTGAACAAGGCCTGTGAGCGCACATCATGCACGTCTCCCCTAAACCCTGAACCCTAAACCCTGAACCCTAAACCCTCAACCCTAAACCGTACGGCCTCACCCAAAGCGCCGCGAGTCAGGGTTGGGCCATAATTGTCGGGGTTTCCCAGGGACTGCAATATGGGGGGTTTCCGAAAATTAGGTGGTACCCTATTTTGGGGTCCTTATATATAATAAGGATCCTACTATTTAGGGTACTATATGAGGGTCCCCTATTTTAATTCTCGGAAACTCCCACATACCTTGATTTAAGGAATATAGCTTAAATTCATGTAGGATCCCCGACATGATATAAGGTATACCTGAACCCGGAAGAACCTACCTTTTTAAGGACTTCTATAAGGAAATCATAATAGGGAACCCTGAAAAGGTAGGTTCTCCAGGGGTAAGGTATTCCTTATAATTATGAGGGATCTTGGAGTCTGGTGGCTTACGGCGCAGCATTTACGCTCAGCGTTTAGTAGAGTAAAGGCTTTGGGGTTATAGGTTGAGGGTTCGGGATTTGCGCTTAGGACAGGGTTCGGGGTTCAGGGGTTAAAAAAGTTTTGGTTCAGGGTTGGGTAAGTAGGAGGACGGAGGAGTGAATTTCGCGTTCTTGTTGATCCCAAGCTTTCCAGAGGCTGTAAGCCAGAAACGTCAAACCCCGAACCCTTATAACACCTGAGCCAGTTGGTAAGCCCTACCTTAACCCACCAAACCCTACTGTTCTGTCGGTTCTTACCCTAAACCCGAATATGGAATCTATTATAAGGACTGTACGAAAAAGCAGGTTTTGGTAGGTTAAGGTAAACCCTAAACCCCTAAATCCTAAAACCCTACACCCTAACCCCCATACCTAAACCCTACCTCAACCCTGAAGAACCTACCCTCTAGGGCTCCTTATTATGATTTACTTTTATAAGTCTTTACAAAAAGACAGGTTGTTCAGGGTTATGCTAGACCCTAAACTCCAAGCCCCTCCTACGGAATGGAGGTCGGGGAGCCACTTCGTTTGCGCTTCGAGGATCAAGCCGGGCGCAAGAACTTTGCTGATGGGGTCCGGCTGCCCAGCTGTCTCTACCGTATAAATAATCTCCATTGCAGTTCCTTTTAGGGGTTTAGGGGTTTAGGGTTATTACAATCGAGACTATAGGTACATTGTGGTTTCGTATCCAGGGCTTTAGCAACTTTAGGGCCTGAGTTTTAAACCCACCAAGCCTTTTGTGAATCCTATGCGCGAAAATCGTGAGGCAAGGCCTGGGTGGCCGATGAAGTGAATAAGCTTGCCAATATCAACTACTAGCTGTTCTGCTATCCTGAACGCCTACTATGGGTTTCTCAGAAGCAGCTGCATGAGCTGCAGGTGTAAGGTGAATTCGATGAACATGCTTCGACCTCGTTACTGGCATAAACTGCCTAAACCTTCGAACTTTAGCCTGATACCTGAACCACAAACCGCTTAAAAGACAAAGCCCGAGCCCAGCCCTGAAAGAAGCCCCTGCAATTCACGAAACGAGGTCTGTCAAACTAGGGTTTTGGGGTTTAGGTCCCTAAGCCCTAAATCCTACTCCCTGCCCAGATTTTAGCAAGAGCGCTTCCGTCTATGATCTTTATGTGATGAAGCTGCAGTGCTGCAGTTTACCGTGCTCGCCTGAGTTAGAAGAGCCCGGTATTCCAATACCAAACTCCGAAGCTCGAAACTCCCCAAGCCTGCAGCGTCCGGAAGAATGAGAAACCCTCTCATCCTACTTGGAGGGTCGGGGGACTTAATAACTGGTTATTTTAGGGACTTATAAGTACCATAACCCCAATTAGGGTCCCTTTTAGGGTACTTAAAAGTCTACTTACTACCTACTTACTAAGTCCCCCGACCCTCCAAGTAGACCCAATGCCCTACTTGGAAGTTCAAGGGCTTTCTCGACAAAGCTGTCGGTGGCCGGTTGGTTCAGAGCATCGGCGAGCTGCACGATTACCTCATGAGCCAGAGACTCGCTTGGAAACAGCAGCTACACAGCACCTTGATAGGGGTGCATACTGCGAACAGAGACGGCTTGGGTGTGTCAGCCGCCCATTGCCATGAGTTGATAGCGAACATAGCCGCCATAGGCTATTCGGCCGAAGAGGCCAGGTCCGTATGCATAGAAATTGCTTCGGAGCCGGCCGGAGATGGCATTCGGTCCTTCAACCAAAAGCTTGTAGCCGATGCCAAAGGAAGACTTGCAGATCTTTCGATTGGGTCCCTGCGATATGCCAGTATCATCGGCTCCCATTCAAACCAGGCGTCTCGGGCCTTCGTGGCAGGGCTTGAGAGCAACACCCCGTCCGTGTCGGTTGACGGCAAGTTGTCTTTGAGCAAGCTCCAACTCACGGATCCTGCATGGCACCGTGCGATCGATCAAGGCATCACGTGGACGATCATTTCGGCACACGTGCAAGAGAAGTTTCCGCAATATGCGGCCCTGGCACAAGCTGCCGGTAACACAGCGACTCATATGTCATAGGTAGTTGTATAAGTAGGGTTATAAGTAGGGTAACTATACGTATAACCCATATTAGGGGACCTATTACCCCCACTTATAACTACCCACGAACCTCCAAGTACACTCTGACACTCGTGGAGACCTTGAACCCCGTAAACTCTAAAACCCAAAGCCCCTATCCTTGAACCTTATAACCCACAAACCTTAACCCTAAATTCCAATACCCTGGACCCTAGCCCTTAAACCCTACTTGTAGTCTCCATTGTAGTTCCATTTTTTGGTGTAACCATATACAAAATTAGGGTCTTGTCAGGTACCTAAACCCTAATCCCTAAACCCAGGTACGCAAAGCCACGGCCTTCAAACAGGCCTGGCGCTTGCCAGTTTTATCGTTCAGGGTTTGGAGTTTAGGGTTTAGGGTTCAGGGTTTGAGATTTGGAGTTTAGGGTTGAGGGTTCAGGGTTTGGGATTGCAACTTAGACGCTTGAATAGTGAGAAGCAGTATACCCCGTTGTCCCAGTGTTACTACACGGTATAATCAACGCCCCCTGAAGCGCGTAAGGCCCCATAGGTTTGGGCTGTAGGGGTTAGGCCTTGTGCTTTGGGGCTTGAAGCGACAAGGATTTAGATTTGGATTTAGGATTTGGGGGTTAGGGTTTAGGGTTCTCGGGTTCAGGCTTTCAGGTTTAGAGTCGGTTTCTTGTAGGGTTCGATCACGTGTTTGCGTCTTGGGAGTGTCGTGCTTGCAGCTTCGGGGCGCTTTCTGGAATTGCTGCAGGAGTGTTTCATTCTGTGAGGAGGGGTTGGCGGATGTACAGGGTTGACAGGCTCAGTGCATGATCGTAATATTTACAATAGCGGTAGAGATGGCAATAGCAATAGCAACACAACAAAACAACAATAGAATTAATAACAACCACACTAACAATAATAGTAACAATGACTCTAACTATAGCTATATATAGCTATAATAAGAGCTGTTTCTATATCTGTAACTATGACTATAATTACAGCTATAAGTACAACTATAGCAACAACAATAGCCTTAGCAATGACAAATCCCTATCCAGGAGATGTTTCAGTTGGCTGAACTGGCAGTTGCGTGGGCCTGAGGGTGTGCTGTTTTGGCTCGCAGGGTTTAGTTTCGAACTTAGGAGTTTCGGGGCATTGTAAGGCTGCACCCTGAACCCTGAAACACGGTTGTTCGGGGTCTGATGTCCCTATCTGCTCTAGCCATACATGCTAAGCCCGAAAGCCTCGCGCCACACCCTAGCCCTAAAGCCCGAAATCTGCGATCGCCCTCAAGGTTTGAATTTTGGAAGTGCAGTGTGTTTCAAGGCCTCTCGATTTGGGGGCTTTAGAACTTCTTTGAGGCTTACATGTTGGATGTAAGTCGGGATCTGCGCCCCGGAACCTTCGACCCCTTTAGCTTCTGGGTTGCGCTTGACCCGAGCTTCTGTCAAGTATAGGGTCTTAGCAGGCTTTCGAGCTTGAAGTTTGGGCTGAGGGCTTGGGTTTAGGGTCTAGGGTTTAGGTTTAGGGTTTGCAGGTTTATGATTTATGGCTTAGGGTGAGGTGAGGGTTTACGTTTGGGTTTGGGGTGTTCAGATCTTGGGCCCAGAAATCCTGAAGCCCCATTGCCACCGGTTTGATTCGAACAGCAGGTTGAGAGGCCTTGTCCACTTCGCGCTTCAGGAGGAAACTAGGACCCAGAGTAGGCCCTCATTCCCTTTTTTGGGGGTTCAGGGTCCCTTATAGCTCCCAGTAAACCCAAAAGGGCACCCTTGTTATTCCTAGGTTACTGTTGGGTCTAGCCTATAGTCTCTGTTGTACTTCCTTTTCGGGGTTGCCTTATAGGATCCTAATCCGTTACTCTTAGGTCTAGGAAAGACTTCAGAGTTTAGGGAGCAGAGACGTCTCGAAGCAGTCCCCGGAACAGCTGGCAACTTCATTCTTCGTCATCGTTGGGAGTTTCCGAAAATAGGGGACCCTAATACAGCACCCTAAATAGCCGGATCTTTATTATGAGAACCCCAAAATAAAGTACCCCTAATTTTCGGAAAGTCCCAGTTGGGCAACATGTTAGTTGCATTGCTTGAAGTCTAAAGTCAAGAAGTATTAGAAACCTACGTTTCTAATCCTAAAACCCTACTTAATCCCTAAACCATGAATCCTAAACTCTACCTTAATCCGGAATAACCTACCTTTTTAAGAACTTATATATGGAAATCATAATAGGGAAATAGGGAACCCTAAAAAGGTAGGGTTTTCAGGGTTAGGGTAAACTCTAAACCTAACCCTCGACCGGCGTTCGTGATCAAGCAGTCCCAAACTCGGGGGGCCAAATCCCTGAAGCCGGAACCCCGTGCATCTGACACCTCCGCAGAAGTTTCGGGGTTTAGGGTTTAGGATGGGCTGAAGGGTTTAGGGTTTAGGGTTTAGGACAGCAGAAATATCGGCAAAAATATAGCTCAGCATATGGGTGAGCCCTTAAAATCGCAAAGCCCATCTCAGTTGAAGTGGGGCTTCGCTGCGGGTGCACATGCCGGGGGCAGGGAGGACAAGCCGAGACAGCTTGGAGGTTTTTGGGTAGCTACAAGTGCGGTCATAAGTCCCTGAATATGGGTGGTTGTCAAAGTTAGGGTCCCTTTTGGGGTCCCTATTATAATACGGCAGCTATTAATTAGAGTACCCAAAAAGGGACCTTCATTTTGACAACTACCCATATGGGTTATAAGTATACTTATACCCTACTTACAACCCTACTTATAACTACCCATAAACCTCCAAGAAGGCCCTAAACCCTTTACATCCCTATAGAATCCCCATAGATCCCTTTAAAAGGAACCCTTAAAGGAACCCTTATAACTACCCCATGAACCTCCAAGAGGGGGTTCTCAAGGGTTTAGGGCTTAGGGTTTGAGGGTTTAGGGTTTGGGGCTTAGGGTGGAGGGTTTAGGGTTGAGGGTTTAGGGTTTACGGTTGAGGGTTTGGGGTTTAGGGTTCAGGGTTTAGGGTTTACGGTGTGCAAATCGGTGCTTTTGAAACCTTTAGTGTGACAGCGGACCCCCCCCCCCCCCCCCCCCCAAACGTAATTAAACGGAAGATGAATGACAAAAAACTACTACAGTTGTTAAGGTCCCGTGAAACGAAATGCACATGACCGAGGAAACGAAGCAGCAGCTGACTTCCCGCAACCAGAGCCAGCTGACTTCCCGCAATCAAAGCCTCTTGGGAAGCATTCGGCGAGGAGTTCTATTTCGGGGGATGGAGTTTGGGTTTAGGGTTTGGGGTTCAGGGTCTAAGGTATATAGGGGGCAACTTATCCAACATACATTTGCTAAGAATGGTGTCGGGAATCCTGAACCCTCAGAAAAGGTATCGATTCGGGACAATTGTTGATTTCCCTGACTGCTTCATATGGAGCTTTAATCATGAGTAAGTTGGGGACCCTCAACCCCTAAATCCCTAAGCCCCAAAACCCCAAACGGTGGACTGCTGAAATCGACGCCCAGTATTTGCGTCTGTGTCGTCTTAGCCTCTTAGGAATCGGGAGCCCTGAAATCCTCAACGCTAAACCCCAACATGTGCCCCTGGGATACTCTAAGGTTCCTTTAAGCGCCCCCAACTACCCTTTAAGGGACCCCTTATGGTCCTCACTAGCGGGTAGTTAGGGTGCAGGGTTGTTGTCCCCGACCGTTGGGGTTTAGGGTTTAAACGCCCCGCCCCCAACCACCCTGTCCATCAAAATACCCGGTTTAGGGCTAAGAGTTTGGAAGTCCGTGTGAAGCGTAGCTCCAGCCCTGAATCCCTATCCCTAAACCGTAGATCCCAAATCTCTCGAAGCCCGAAACCGAAACCCCAAACCCTAAACCTTAGCTCGAATCCCTCCGCCTAGAACTCTAAGACTCCAAGCCCTCGAAACACGATAGCCACAGGCCGCACGTCGGTGGCAGTCTCTCGCTCAAACAGCCTGGCAAGGACTGTAGGTTCCACTGGGATTCAGCTGCGGTTTGCCTATAGTCTCCATTGTAGTTCCATTTTGCTGCTACCCTACAGGATCCAACGGTGGATGACATAAATCCTGCATTACCCATAATAAGGAATACACCATAGTTCCCATAGTCTAGGGTCCTTAAGGTAGTGCAAGATTTATATCATCAACCGTAGTTACATATTCGGTTAAACCAAAAGACAACCAGGTTCAGGTCTGGGTTCTTTGGGTTTAAGTTTTAGGGTTTCGGATTCAGGGGTTTAGGGTTTGGGATATAGGATTTAGGGGGTTTAGGGTTCAGGGTTACATCTTGGTGTAGGATCAGGCATTGCCTTAGTGTGTCGATGTCAAAACAAGATTTTGGGCATTGGCATCAACTTCGTGTTACTGATTTCGGGGCTTTTACCTAGACCTCCATCTACCCTCTATTAGACCCTAAGTACCCACGATTTGGGACCATGTACCCCTATTTCAGGGTAGAAGGAGGGTCCTGGGAGTGTTGACGCATTCGGGTCCGATGTACGGTTAGCGGTTTCAGGCTCGGGTTTTGGGTCCTGCCCTGCACACCAAAACCCAAAACCATAAACACTAATCAAAGTCTCCGTTGTGGTTCCTTCTTGCGGTTAATTACCTTATAGGATCCCAACTATAGATTCGGCTAAACCAATAAAGGGAACTACACTGGAGACGAAGCCTAGTGGTAGAGTAGGCAACCTTTAGCCGCTTTAGCCTTTTTGGGCAGTATAGCCCCTATATAATTCCTATATAACCAAAAAGGTTAACCTTTAGCTCCCCATGATACCCGACAAGTAGGGAAAGGTATTTAAAGACTTGTTGGCTTTGGGTTCGGACTTTTACCTCACGCGTTCAATCCCTGAGCCCCGAAAGAAGCTTAGGCTGTTTGGGCTTTGAGCTTGGTTATAGGTTTTCGAAGCACCCAGAGACTCCATCATCACTTACTTGGAAGACACCTTAGATTATAATAAGAGACTTATCATGACTTAAGGTATATTCCTTTAGTAAGGGATATTGAAGGCTCTGGGCACGCAGGATGTAAGGGAGGTAGGTCTCCTTCATAGAAGCACGTAGATTTGTGTAAAGCCCTCATAGAAGTTCGTACAACACGCCTGGAGCAGACATGCAAGCCCATACAAAGCAAGATTCTGAAATGCCCGTGAAACTTGACGTTTGGGCACTGACTTGCGGGTGTTGCACATGGGTTTTGGGCTCGGCTTATAAGTGTTTTCATGTTTTTGCAGCAGTTTGTATGGGTGTAGACAGGGTCAACCCCAAAGATGCGGAACCACGGGACCTCAAACTCCGAGTGGAACGCGCGAAGACCCATGACGGCGCTGATTGAATCACGCAGGATGGCAACCAACGCCGTTTGCGTCGATTCCGACAAGTCCAAGGTGGAGAAGTGCAAGCATGTTTTTTGCCAAACCACAACCAACCCTAAACCCTAAACCCCCTCCAAAACCCTAAACCCAAACCCCCTGAACCTTGAACCTCCGAAGCGAAAGCTGGCAGCTGATTGCCCTGAACCCAAAACCTTGCTCTGGAAATCAGAAGTACACGTGGCTGTCTTCAAAGGTTACTCATAACAGATGATATAGTGAACAGTAGTATGTTGTATTGTCTTATATTGTTACATTAATATTACATTATGTTGAATTGAGTTGTGTTTTATTTTATTTTCATATCATATATATACACACAAACACATGTGTATGTACTTGTGTGCATCCATCCACACATACATGCATACATTCATGCATGTACACATACATCGATACATCCATACATACATCCATACATACATGAGTACATACATGCATACATACATGCATACACATAAAAATAGAGAGACAGAGAGAGATAGAGGCAGAGAGAGAGAGAGAGAGAGAGTGTGTGTGTGTGTGTGTGCGTGCGTGTCTCTCCCGGCAATGGTCCCGCTCGAAAGCCTTGAGCCTCTGCGCCCGTAGTCTTCCAGCAACGTTTGGCTTCGCCTGAAGTGATACTTCATTCTCAGCGGCCTTAGAAAAAGCTTCAAAATCTGGTTATAACTAATCTCCCACTGTGTCCATGGCACTCTCAGAAAGCACAACTGTATATCACGTGCTAGACTTGATTTTTTGTGATGCTTCAAGCTGTTTGTTGTCTCCAAGAGCAGACATGAGGTTGCTGCACTCAAGCCCTGAGCCGTAGAAAATTCTAAACCCTATAACTACAAAGCCCTGAACCCTTGACATGGCATCATCTCATGAGAAAAACACTTCACAGCACCATGACTTCTACGGACCTTCACAATCACCGTCGAGGCCACCGAAGGTGACATGCCGCAAAGGCGCATGGGGTGGTTAGGATTAGGGCAGAGGTCGTTGATGGGTTTAGGGTTGAGGGTCTCGCGTGCTGGGGTTGAGGGTTTAAGGTTCAGGAGCTTGTTTCGGGGATGTACGGTCACGGAGTCGGAGGCAGCAGCGCTTCGTCCTGCAAAGCTACATTCAGGAGGAAACTCCTCCAAAACCGCGTAACCATGAGCCAGGCGTCCCCAGCACCCAGTCAAAGTTTAGGCATCTTGCCTCGGCATCAAAAGACTTTCAGACGCCGTATCGTTACATCGTTGCAAGCATGGAGGCAGAGCATCACACATAGGAACGTATACCTTACTGCCTTGAACGCGGCGCTTTCATCGGCACGAGGATGGCGAGGAGGATGAGTTTTATTATGATTTGGGTGATGATGGTGGTGTGATGATGATGGCGATGATGGTGATGATGATCGTGATGTTCTGGTTTCTGCCACAGTTCGCACGACCCAGGAGTAGGACTCTACTTTTCGTTGTTTGTTGTTCGGGATTCTTTGTACGGCTTGCTTGTTGCCTGCTACTCTGGCTGTTTCCAAGTTGGAAGAACGAGGGTAGTGGAGCGTTGGGATCATGCTGGGCCTTTCAGTTTTGGGGTGGAGGCTTGTGAGATGCAAGGGGCCTAAATCGGAGCCGGTTCGTTGAAGACTGTCATGTTTGCTGGCTCATGGTGGGTAGAAGTGTCGGACTGCCATATTGGAACCAACCACACTCCCTAATGTACCTAAACTCTACACTTCCAAACCCACCGATCGAAAAGCAGGTGCTTACCGTCGTCGAATCGCGTCCGCACGCAGCCGGCAGCCCCAGCCCGTGACCATGCGAAGTATGGTTTGCGCTTCTACAGACTTTTTACAGAGCGCCTGAGGATTTTTTATGAATAGAGAGCTCCGCAGAAGGAGGTGCTCCTTATTTAATTATGTACCTTTGTACGCAAGTTGACATGATCCTAAAAGCAAGGCCACCCAGGCGTGCATACCAAGCTCTGCTGCCAGCCTCAAATCCTCACAGTATGGGAAAGAAAACATACTGCTTCAGGAGAGTGTGCGGCAAGCTTAGTTTCAATGACTCTTCTCAATTTTACACGTAAAACATATCACTACACACCTTTCTGGGGCCCGCAGGTTGTTTAATCAGTGTTCTTGCTGCTGCAATTTGCATCATACTTGAAGTGATCCGAATCAGGTGTTTGTTGCGGACGCCTCTTGCCAGGTCTCATCTGAATCATTTCCTAACCCCGAAGTCGAACCCTGTCAAACCACTAATGCCGCACCTCAACCTGTGGAGTGCAAGAGTGACATTTCGCAACATTCGGGATTCACGGGGCAGACGATCCCAAACCCCACCAACGCAAAGCATCCTTAGTCTCCAACACATGGGTAGTTGTCGAAATTTGGGTTTTTTGGGTACCCTAAATATTAGGTGCCGCATTATATTCAGGACCCACAAAGGATCCTCATTGTGACAACCACTCAAATGGGAAAGCTGAGCCCCCATAACTGTCATGGTTTAGGGCCCTTAGTGTTTAGGCTACACTTTTAGATGGCCTGCTCAAACCCTAAGACAGGAGGTTGCATAGCGCTAGCAAGATGATGCCCTGTACTGTAGCTTAGCGTATCTGATCTAAGCATAATTATGCTTACAATACCACTGTACACATATATACACATATACGTATGTGTATATATGTATATGTATATATATATATATATACATATCGGTACACATAAGCATCAGAAGTGAGATGGAGTGTGAAACACCACTGACTCGCTCTCTCTCTCTCTCTCTCTCTCTCTCTCTACATGCAAACTGTTGACTCTCATCTTCCTGTACGAAGATGCCCAAACGCCCAGGGAGGCGCTGAAGCCTAAACCCGAAGCCTTAAAACCCTAAAACCCTAAACATAAAAAAAAAACCGTTTAGGGTTTAGGGTTTAGGGACCGAGGCCCTAAATACCCAAAGGGTTATATGTACCGATATAGTAGAATGTAGGGTTTCCATATTAGGAATTACTAGTATGACTTTGGGAAGTACTGTTATGACATAGGGAAATATCCCCCATAACAGTACAAAGGACCCTTTGGGATAAAAACCGAAGCCCAGAATCTCAACCCTACGTTCCGAAATCTTCGGAGCCCCCTAAACCCTAAACCCTAAACCCTACCCAGGTTGGCGGTCCCAAAGAGCGTACCCATGCAGGGCTCCCGGTGGGTCGGGCTTTGCTACACGTTTTCATAGACTCACAGGCGCACATATAGTGGGGTTTATGCATTGAGTGCGTTATACAGACATACAGACATTATTACATATGTATGTATATATATATACATACATACATACATACACACATATACATACACACACACATTAATTCGTGAATATATGCTATGCACATATATATGTATATACATATGTATGTATAAATGTATATATATATATATATATATATGTATAGACATACGTATGTGTATATACATATATATATATATATATTATGTAGACTGAGAGACGTAATAGACAGATACAGATATACATGTGCAACGACAGATTTGCATAATGATTTTTCAGGCTTCAAGTTGCGGGCTATGGGGATGTTACGCGTTGCAACTTATGGGGGTATCCAGATGTTGAGCTTTGAGGGCCTGGGATTTCAGGATGTTGGGCCCGAGGGTGTTGAGGGTGTTTGCAGTTTGAGGCTTCAGAGTTTAGGGTTTTCTGCGCTTCAACGGTTGAAAGCCTCTACCTTTCAACTGATAACCCCAAAGGGCCCTATGTACTATTATGGGGGATACTTCCCAGGGTCACAATCGTAATTCCTAATATGGGAACCCTACACTCTATTATATCGGTACATTACATAGGACCCTTTGGGGTACTATAGTACTATATCCGTAGGGCCTTCTAGGGTTCCTTTAAAGGGTACTATAGTACCTTTGGGAACTTGCTTTGTAGACTTAGGAGGGGACTCTGGGTGTTCAGAGTATCGAGTTCTCTAAGGCCCAATCCTTTCATTCAGCATCTCACAATACAGAGGTCTGTATAACTAGTACTAATACACTCTTGAGGTGCCCATCCATAAGTATATGTATTTAAATATGCATATATATATATATATATATATATATTTATGCACATACTACAGCGAACTCAAAAACCCTGTTCCAAAAACTTACGTCCAGATACTACTCTCTATATGGAACCAATTAATAAACGAAGGCAAATTCGGCCCCCCCACCCCCAGACGGGCTAACAAAGGGGTTTGGATACTCAGCGGTAATACTCCCTTACAGTCCCCGTATAACTTCTACTGTACTACAGTATCGCCTACAGCCTTTTCTAACTTATTACGGTGCGTACATTACGCCAGCCGCAAGCCCTAAATCTTGCACCTCTGTAACGGCTCGGCATGTCAATGTTGCCGACAGCAGCTCAGGTATGCGCTTTCCCCAACAACATCAGGCCGGACTGGCTTCATGTCCTTGCAGGGTTTTTGTGTGTGTGTGTGTGTGGGGCCGCAATAATTATGGGACGATGGCGACGGGCATCGGGCAAGGACTCGCACTTAGTTTGGGGAGCCTCCGTGACATGCGTAGACGAATGCGTGGGCTGCTGGGCAGGGAGCACTAAACTCTAAACCATAAATTCCCAAACCCCTAAACCCCTAAATTTCTTTCTAAACCCTAAATCCCCAAACCCGAGAACGCAGAAGAAGAACCCGACACAAGATCAGCGTCGGACTGTGCTCCCACGTGCGACTGCCGGTTAAGGCCTTAAGGAGCTTTAAGGAATATGCCTTAACTCATATGTCAGATTAGGATCATTAGGAATCCTACTATAGTTTAAGGTATATTCCTCAGCTTGATCCTTGCGTCTTTGCTGGTTCTTCCGACATCGGCGGACGCCAAACCTTGAACCTCCACAGACTGGAGGCCCTGAAACTTTAACCCGGCATTCAAAAACTTGATGCTTCGCCGCAAAAACCCTAGACCCAAACCCCTAAACCCTAGCCTCGCAGACCTTTCGGGCGATGCAGAAAAGGAGCTCCAAAAAAAACCTAAACCCTAAACTGCCGAGAGTGCTGCTGACCATTTGCATGGTCACTCAAGGCTCCGAGTGAGGCCCCCGGCCGAGCGTCTCGTCAGAACGGTAAGGGAGGGTAAAGCCCGGTATACGTGGACCGCAGTGACGTCGCCCCCCCCGGCTCATGACCTCTTTGCCGCCGACATCTCTGCCATCACCATTGATGTTTTCTAGTCTGGCAAAAGGCCGATGTTGGTCTTTTTTTCGGGGTCTGGGGCGGGATCCCCAGGGCGGTCTGGAGGCATCGCTTTCGGGTGGGGGACCTCAAAGCAAAGCTGGGGCGATCCGGGGGCTCCTGGACCGGTCCTAACTTGCAGGGTCAGGGGACTTAGTAAGTAGGTAGTAAGTACACTTGTAAGTACCCTAAAAGGGACCCCAATTGGGGTTATGGTAGTTATAAGTCCCTAAAACAACCAGTTACTAAGTCCCCCGACCCTCCCAGAAGGGAAAAAACCCAAGGCGGCCCTCCCCTGCCAGGACTAGGAGCACACTGCGGGCGATCCTCACAGGGCGCAGAAACCCACGTTGTTTGTGGGAAACCCTTGCCACACCCTAAACCTAAACTTTCAAGAACAGGATAAATAGAAAACCTAAACTTTCAAGAACAGAATACATAGAAATTGTGTGGCTTTCGCATCGATTTCGATGCTTCATTAAACGTGTGCTTGGAGATCCCAGCCCTGCCCCGGTCGCCTCCCAGGCAGCCCTACTTGGAGGTTCATGGGTAGTTTATAGGTATAGGGTTCCTTTAAGGGCTCTATACGGTTGAGGGTTTAGGGTATAGGATTATAGGGTTTAGGGTTAGCTACAGGTTATAAGTAGGGTAACTATACTTATAACCCGTATTGGGGGACTTGTAAACCCACTTATAACTACCCTTGAACCTCCAAGTAGCCCAGCCAACCCCAGTCGGCTAGCCGAGGCCGCCATCCCGGCCCAGCCCAGCCCCAAACGCGATTTCAAAAGCAAAGCAGGAACTGCTCACAACTTTCAGGCAAAACTCCGGACCCAACCCTTACATGGTTTCTATAAACTCTACACCGCAAACTCTCCACCCATTTACTGACTTCCGACACTTGGGAAGGCGACCTCTTGCAGGCGAAGGCCCAGCTCTCAGACTTTTCTTTAAAAAAAGGCTCTACAAGGGTTTAGGGTTTAGGGGTTTAGGGGTTCAGGGGTTCAGGGGTTCAGGGTTAGGGTGACTATAAGTAGGCTTATTTGGGGGGCTTACGATAAGGGGTCTTTAAGTGCTACTATAAGGTCGAGGGTTGCGGGTTTAGGGTCTGCGGTCTTAGGGATTTACGGGCGGAGGGTTTAGGGTTTATAGGGCTCAGAGTTCCTTCTTCCGGTTTTGGAGCCTGGGGTTGAGGGTCTCGGGTTGGGGGTTTAGCGTTTAGGGTAGAGGCCTGCAAGAAATAGAAAAATACGTAGGGGTTCTCGATAACATTCCCCAGAACCCGCTCGCTCTATCCAACTATGGATCTTTGATGAAGCTATCAAGCTGGATACCCTGAACCCTCAACCCGAAATTTCAGCTGTAGAAGATTGTAGAAGCAGCAGTTCAAGCCGGAGAGTTCCAAATCCCAGTTTGCAAAGACTTTTTCGTATTAAGAACATTTTATATACCGAAGCGAACTTTAAGATTTCAAGCCCTATGCACCTCGAAGCACTTGAATCAGGCTTGCTCTGTAAAGCCCAACGAAAACAGGTCGAAACCCTAAACCCTAAACCCTACAAGCCCTAAACCGCAACACGACGGCCGACTCGCTGAGGAAGAGGTCATGGCGCGCCAGGAGAGCTCCCAAAGCACACGCGACGAGGCCACAAGCTCCGGAAGTACGCGTGACGAGGCCGCTCCGAAACTCGCTCGGTTTAGGGTTTTAGGTTTCGGGGTGTAGGGTTTTAGGGTTTAGTGTTTCGAACTTGAATTAGGATTTAGGGTTTAAAGTTGTACTTGCACGACCCCCTCGCCCCTAACGCATGTGTAGTACAGACCAGACCGTGCAGCCTTTGAACATGGCGGTTTGCCTACTTAGGAGTCGGGATTGCGGGTGCAGGGCTTAGGGGGCGGAGGTTGCAGGGCTGTTGGTGCTTAATTATGGAGTTCGGGATTGCAGCATAGACCTTCTGCTTTGGACCTTCTCAGCTTAAGCCCAAAACCATCGCTCTGCAGCCAGCCGGATCTTTAACCGCGAGCCCAACAACTGCAAACCTGAACCCTAAACCCCAATCCCGGTACTTACATATGGCGGAACCCTACAACCTATATAAGCTGCTATGGCGCTGTGAAGTCTAGCCAGCCACATGCTGGCAAAGTATCCTACAGAGGTCTCAATATTTGGTATCCCCTTCATTCCCCTTCTAGTGAATCCATAATCATGCTACAGTATCTGCCAAAACCCGATTTTAATCGTTTAGGCGTCTATATTGCTTCAGTATGCCCGTCGACTTTTACGGGGAGCTTGTCAGCTCGTACGTGACCTCCGTGGTTGAACCTGGCTTGGAACACGCGCAGGGCGTCCAGCCGCATATTCTGCGGCTTTCGGATTTAGGGCGCCGGCCACAGGAACAGGAAAGCCTAATGGAACAGCACAGTCACACAACCTTCGGCTAGCCTTCCACATACTTGAACTCGATTCGCCACCGTCATCACGCCTAAACCCTAAACCCTGAACCCTAACCGTATCCTTGCGAGCATCATCCCTTGACCTCGGATTGGTTTTATCGCCGAAGACAGGGCCGGCGAAGCACAGACAAGCCGTTCAACTTCACCTGAGAGCAAGCGTGTCTGAAGGCGTCCTGAGCGTATCAACAATATCAAGAGAAGTCCACAGATACTACCATTGTGAAAATAGGTCCGAGTCCCAAAACCATGACTAGGATGGTTTTTTGGAGCTGAAGTCCATAGTTGTCGCATATGTTCACATCTTTATACGCTTAGGTTTATGTGTTCACCTATTTAGACAATTGTAGTACACGTGTACATATAAATATGCAGATGAACATGCATATACATGTACATTGACATATACATACACATATACATATACATAAAGATATACATATACATAAAGATATACATAAACACATACATATGCAAGTACATTTACATATACACATACACATATACACATATACATATACACATATACATATACATGTACATATACATATACATATACATGTGTATATATATATACATATACATGTATATATATATATACAGATAATATACACATGTATGTGTGTATGCATGTGTGTAAGTGTGTGTATATATACATATATATATATATATATACATATATACATATTGTGTGTGGACCCTCTGGGCTCGATACCCACGCCCCGTGCATCCGTGCAGACGCCTCCTAAAGCCAAGCCGGTGATTCCCCGGTTGCAGCTTCCCCAGGCCACACGGTGCAGATGTTGAGTTGGGGGCCTTAAGGCTTAGGGTTTAGGGTTCAGGGTTTAGGGTTTACGGGCCTTGATAATTAGGATAAGGCTTAAGGTTTGGGGGCCTTAATGAGTAGGGTTGCGGGTTCAGGGCCTTAAGACTGAGAATAGGGCCCTTTCAAGGGGTTTAGGGCCTTGAGACTGAGAATAGGGCCCCTTTCAAGGGTCCCTTTTGTAACGGGATCTAGAGGGGATCTGTAAGAGTTCTGGAATAGTAAAGGGTCTTAATATTTAGAGCAGGGTTTTGACCTCGTAACAAGGAGCAAAAACAAACACTGTTGGTAATTGTTAGCTGGGACTTCTACATTGCCGTCTTGTCTTTCAGACTTGAAGCTGGTTTCGGGATGCATAGGCCTCTGTTGGTAGAGTTCGAGCGCTCAGGCGAGCGTTTATGGGTTTCCAAGTTCTCGAGTTCAGGATTTCGGCCTTCACGGTCTTGAGGTCCTCAGAAATGCTGCCAGCAGGCACAAGAGTAGTAGTTGCTACCGAGGTGGTAAGTACGAGGAGGAGGAGGAGGAAGTCGTCATCCTCGTGGTTGTCGTAGCCGTGGTCGTAGTTGTGGCCGCACGGTTGTCGTGACAGCCCTCGTCGTCGTGCTCCTAGGTGTGGAGGTAGTGTTCGCGGTAGTGACAGCATTTCTCGTGTGTTTCGCCAGTGTGTGTTTCGGATTGACGGTGTATGAATATATGGATGCCGTAGCTTTCAGCATCGCTTGGATGTGAGGTTGTGTGGTATAGGCACTATACCCCTTGAGATTGGGTTAAGTGTAAGTGTGCGGATGTAATGCTGTTGGATTTCAAGTTTTGGTTTTGGTCCACTCCTGTTCACGTGACCTCAAGAAGACGAGTTTGCAACTTGCCACCAGCAGTGAGTGCAGAAGTGGGTGATGCCTGGGGCACATAGCCGGCAACAAAGGTTTCGACGCCATGACAAGACTCGAGCTGCAAAGCTAGACTGCATGAACCCCTAAACCCTAAACCCTTAAACCCTAAACTCTAAGCCAAGTTAACTTGCCAGGTTGGTATTCCCCTAAACTTTTGGCCGTATTGCCCTTGAAACCTCCTCGCTGGGAGGTGACCCGTGCCAACAGCTGCCCGGTGAACCCACCTCCGCAGGACATGAAGGCGACGAAGATAAGTGCAATGAACCCTGACATAGGACCTAGGAAGTACCAGTCAGTTCGGACGTGGACGTGTTGATCACATGTGCTTCCTGTACGACCTTTACTACAGCATGCTCTCCTACTCGTTCCGCTACTTCTGTTTTCCCCCCGACCCTCCAAGTAGTGACAAGTAGGATTAGAAGTATATTATACGTAGGCACGCAGGGTAACTATAACTGGGGTTATAGGGGTTCCTTTAAGGGTTCTATAGTATTCTGTAGGGTTTTATAGGTTTAGGGTAGCCATAAGTGGGGTTGTAAGTAGGGTAACTATACTTATAACCCAGATTAAGGGACTTATAACCCCACTTATATCTACCCATGAACCTCCAAGAACCCCCGAACTCGCAAACACGCAGCTCCTCGACCCCATCGCCCGATGTAACCCGGAGTCAGGAGCCAGAAAACCACACAAACACTTGGGTTTTGGGTTTAGCGTTTAGGGGCTGTTTGTTGAGATATCCTTGCACTGTTCGTATATATTCGCGTGTCATATAAATCCAGCTGATAATGCCTTGCCGGGCGGGGGGAGGGTTTGGGAGATAGAAGGAGTGATCTACTCGCACTCTATGGGCTTACCTACAGAGATTCCTCTGGCATATTTCAACCTTATGGTTCTTGTTTATATGCCTATATGACCCCTAGACCCTGAAACCCTTATCCCCCAACCCTAAAACCCTAAATCTCTAAACCCTAAAACCCTAAACCCCTAAACCCTAAACCCCTAAACCCTAAAACCCTAAACCTTTCTGGAGCCCGAAGAGAGAGAGCGCCCTGAAATAGCGATCGGAGGAGCCTCCCTCCCGCCTTCCTCGCCGCAATTCTGCTCCCCAGGCTTCCTGTGGGAGTTTTCCCTAAGGGTCCAAGTACTCATCTAGTTTAAGGGTCCTTTAAGGGTACCATAAGGGATTTTTTAAGGGATCTATATGGGTTCGATAAGGGTTTAGGGTATAAGTGTCCATGTACTCATATAGTGTATACATTGGCCTTAATGTAGTCCCTATATAGGTACTTTGGGGCTCATGTATCTCTATATGGGTACATGGACCCTTTGGGTTTCGAAACTTAGGGGTTCCTTGTTGGGTTACTAGAAGGGTTCCTTAAAGGGCTACTATGAGGGTACTATAAGGCTTCCGTTAAAGGGCTCTATAAGGGCTTAGAGTTTCCGAAGTTAGGGGTACGTTATTTTGGCGGCTTTTTATGAGGATCCGACTGTTTAGGGGACTATATTCGGGTCCCCTGCTTTCGGAAAACCCCATGTCGTGGTGCACTGAGGGTCTATAGGGCTCAGGGCTTTCAGGGTTTTTCGGGTTTATGGTTAAGGGCTGATAGGGTTTACAGGATTGATAGGATCTACAAGGTTGAGGACTTCAGGCTTGGGGGCTTGAAGTTCGATTCTAATGAAGATTGAGGGTTTAGGACCTCTGGGGTTTAGGGTTTAGGGTTTAGGGTTTAGGGACGTTGAGGTCTAGAGTCTAGAGGTAGGGTATACTTGGAGGGGACTTAGTAAGTTGGTAGTAAATAGACTTACAAGTACCCTAAAAGAGACCCTAATTGGGGTTATGGTACTTATAAGCCCCTAAAATAGCCAGTTACTAAGTGCCCCGACCCTCCAAGTACAAGGCCAATCACCCGACCTGAAAAAGGATTCAAGAGGTGCCGCTTATGTATCCGTACTCAAGAGAGCACGATTCCACAGGCTGCATGTCGCAGCATTCCTGGTCACCTTAGAACGGTTGTGGGGCTTGTTGGTCCTTTGGGTTCTCTGCCCGTTTTTAAACAGCATCTCCGCAGACCGTTCTGAAACTGATTTCTGGGGATGATACTTATTTCGTATCAATCAGAAAGGCCATGAAGGGGGTGAGCTGTCCAGGACTCGCTTTGTTAGGTATTTCGACTCGCCCGTCTTTGCATCTGAGCAGATTCGATGTCGATTACCTGAGCTGCATGTGACAATCCGACAGTTAAACCGCAAAGCTAAGTCGATGCGTTCAGGACACCAACTGTGGTAGCCATGGTTCTTGCCCTCCGTTTGCCACCGGCTAACTGGGTTTAGCAATTGATTCCAATGTTTTATACAGCAAGCCGAAAGCCCAAAGATGAAAGACATTGAACCCTGATCCCCGAGCTGTGGTCTAACCGCCGCTACCACTGTGGGAAGCATCTACCATTGCGACTACATTTCTTCTGCTTCTGCTCTTGCCGTTCCTCAGGCTGGGTCTCAGTGACCCACAGACGGTGCTTTTTTCTTGTGGAAGCGTGGTGGGTCGCCGAAATTTCAGGTTACCCTAAACCCCAAACCTGGCGCCTGGAAGCTTAGGGTATCCTGGACCCCCAAAGTATGAGAATAATAGCCTTTGATGGGTATTGGGCCGTTATTTTACTGGGGGTTTAGGGTCTGTGGTTTCAAAAACCTCCGAGCTTTTCGTGAAGGCAAGCCATCAGCCTACAGCCACCCCTGCTGTTCCCGTCAGCCCATGCGGCAATGTGTTAGGCTTGGGCCAGACTGGCAGCTTGAGCCGTAGAGGTGCGGAAAACAAAGGTGTAGAGCAAAGCTCAAAGTAATGAGAAAACAAGAAATCGCAAACTAGAGGCAAGGCAGAGGCAGCATCCAAACCGCATGATTTGCAACAGCGACAGATGGTACCCACAAGCTCTAGACTCTATACTCCTAGAGTCTACACTCTAAACCCTAAGCCGTAAAGCTTAGCAAGTAGGTCGTGTCATGTTTCACAGCCCTTCCCACCACATTCGATGACAGGGGGAGCAGTTGGTTTCGCCCCGTGATCCCAACAGCTTCGCTTCCAAGGCGGGGGCACTCGGTAGGTGATGGCTCCCGGCCAAGGGTCTAGAGTCTAGAGTCTTTAATTCTTAAGGGCTGGGTGGGTAACCTGTGGCTTTTTCGGTTATACAAAAATATATACGTATATACATACACACACATGTGTATGTGTATATATATATATATATATATATACATATATCTATATATATATATACGTGTACATATATATATATATAGACAGACTGTATATATATATATATATATATACACACACACACACACACACACGCACACCCCTCTACAATCAATAGCCAGCAGGTTAACCTTTTTTGAGCTAGGGTACCCGGCACCTAAGAAGCTTCATATCCTGTGAATGCTTGGCAGGTCCATAGTTGAGGATTCACGTCTGAAGGTTGACGGAGGATGCCCAAAGGCTCCATGTAGATCTATAGTATATACCTTGGCCATACAGTACCCGTAGGGAGACTACTTTGAGGCCGATGTATATACTATATGAGTGCATGGAGCCTTAGGGATTGATGGTTGAGGTTTGCGCTCTTTCGTGGGTTCAGGTACTTGGGATAGCCACACATGCTTGAAGCCTGCTTTCCAAGGGGTCCTGACAAAAGGGATTCCCAGCACTAAGTCGCCACATCTTCGGACGGAGCCTTGCTTGAACTGATTCGACAATAGCTGGACCCTCATCCCCGCTGCGAAATAGAGCTTTTGCTCGCGTTTCCGTAAGGTGCCGAATTCACTAGCCAAGCTTCTTCCTTACATCCTCAGGAACTAGGACGCTGCAAGACTGTACAAAACATATCCACTCCGTTGGGCTTGGGGTTAGGAGGTCGGGTTTAGGATTTCGGGTTGCAGTTGAGGTCGCAGAGCACACTGCCCCGAATCTCGGAGCCTGAGTCTAGGTTCCGAACTCCCACAGGGCGGCCAGAAAGCACAACATCAAGTATTGGATTCATGCGTGCATGCACACTGCATGCATACGTACATACGTGACTACATAAATTCGATTGCTACATAATTTCGAAGACTACATGATTTCGACGACTACATTATTTTCGAAGACTACTTAAATTCGAAAGCCTAAACCCTAACCGAGACAGAGTGTGACAGACAGAAAGACTCACAGGCACACAGACCTTTAGGCCGGCGAGGCAGAGAGACAGAGACAGACAGGCACCACATTTAAGGTTTAGGGTTCATGGTTCAGGATTTAGGGTGTAGGGTTTAGGGAAGATCGACACAGATCGACAGAAATCTGTCCGTCCGTCCATCAATCCATCCATCCTATCCATCCTTGCACAGACATACATCCATGTATGCATACATACCTGGATTGTTCAGCATTCTTCACAGTATACCGTAGCACAGTATGTCCCAATATGGTGCGTATGGTACCATATATCTCCTTAGTTCGATCACCCTTAGTCATGACGAGGTTTTGTGCCTATGGAAGCAATCCCCCTTAGCCCTCTACCTAAAGCTTACTTACAACTACGACTGCGAAGCTCGCGAAGCCCGAGTCTCAACCAGGGCCAGCACTGAAAATGTAGGGGCCTGAATTATTCCTTGGGGTCAACTGGGGGTGCCTGACTGTCATTACATTATAGTAGACCACATGCACAACACCCTTCAAGATCATTAAGGCCACTGCATTAGCGTGTGGGGCCTAGCTATAGAATTGAGGGGCACTTTGTTGGGCCGTGTGGATCTCTTGGTACAGCCCGAACTGAAGATTGCGCCACAAAGGTTCTTATGGGGCTTGGCCTGACGCCGGCCAAGGACGAGAGCTTGCTGTTATGCGTGGTCGTTGAGCTTCCTGTCGTGTGATGTTAGACGGTTTAGCCCTGTCAACAACAGAGATGGAGAGAACCATTAGTATGTTTTACCCTGACCCTCCTCTCTGGTTTACTTGGAGGTTCATGGGCAGTTATAAGTGTGGAGGTTAGAAGTTAGAAGTAGGGCAGTTACAAACGCACGTATAGCTACCCATGAACCTCCAAGCAAGGCTTAGGAACAACGGCAAGCGTAAATAGTTACCAAGATTAGTCTTTAGGGTTCCTGATTAAAAGTATACTATAGAAGAGCCCAAAACTGCATCCCTACCGACACATGAGTAGTTCTCTAAATCAGGGTCCCTTGTCCTTTTTGAAAGGGAGCCGTCTTACATTTTGGGATCTAAAAAGAGATCCCAGTTTAGAGAAGTACCCGCATGCACATCAGAGAAACTTCTGGGGCTCCGTCGCCTTGGGTGGGTTTGGGATTTGCGGTTTAGGCTTTCGGCTTCACTGTCTACCGTCTGGGCCTTCTAGGGTTTAGGCTGAAGGGTTTGGAGTTTAGGCCTCAGGGTTTCAGGCGGTGGTGGCGCAGAGTCGAGGGTTCACCCGATGACTGTTCATTGCTGGGGATGCAAGGCCGAACTTCTTTGGAAGGTGTAAGCTCGAAAGAACCTCCAGAGAATCCTGGCAACGTTGGCCCGAAGTATTTCAACTCCGTTGTCAAAATTATGCTCCCTTTGTGGGTACCCTAAATATTCGGTGCCGTATTATGATAAGGACCCAAAAAGGGACCATAATATTGACAACACCCATATCTCATACCAGCCTGATGCCCGAAGCCTTCCATCCGAAAATCCTCAATATTAGGGTCCCTTTTTGGGTCCTTATTGTAGTATGGCAGCCACCCATGTGACGGGAGGCCTCCGTGCAAGCGAACACCCGAGTGCAAGCGCTGATGTCCAGGCGCGACGTGCCGCCTGATCATGGTAGTCAGAGATGCAGGGGCGCATGTCTGAGTTGGATATGTTGCCATTGTGAAGTTTTCAATTTTTAGATTTAGGAACTGGGCCTTGTTGTTGCGTAGGGTCTTTTGGTACTGAAGATTGCGTGTATTTATATATATATATATATACATATACATACACAGACATATATATATATATACACACACACACACTATTACCGATTGCTGTCCGAGCTCCTGTTGTGCAAGCGTTGTGCGTTGGTTTGTAAGTGTTGACATTGAGTTACTGCCTACTCTTATTCTACCGCAATGTTCTCGCTAGTTTAGTCTTTGATCATGTGGGTCTCCTCTCAATCCCGGAAGTCTAAAAGCGGTGCAATTAAGGGTTCGAAAGCCCGAACATCTTCTCGAGACCGGAACACCTAAAGCCTAAAAGCATCCTATAGAGTGCTTCGAAACTCTCACACAACGGGGCTTACACTTTAAGGTTTATGGGGTTTAGGCTGAGGGTAACCAGCAAGCCTCAGCCTCAAGCTTAAAGCCCCAAGCCCTAAGCCTGAAACCTCAAACCCTGAACCCTCAACACCCTAAACACCAAACCCAAAGCCCCGAAACCCTAAGCCCCTAACCCCTAAACGACCCCTAAACCCTAAACCTAAAAAACAAACAACCAAAGCCCCTAACCCCTAAACGACCCCTAAACCCTAAACCTAAAAAACAAACAACCAAAGCCCCTAACCCCTAAACGACCCCTAAACCCTAAACCTAAAAAACAAACAACCAAAGCCCCTAACCCCTAAACGACCCCTAAACCCTAAACCTAAAAAACAAACAACCAAAGCCCCTAACCCCTAAACGACCTAAACCCGAAACCTAAAAAACAAACAACCAAAGCCCCTAACCCCTAAACGACCCCTAAACCCTAAACCTAAAAAACAAACACCAAAGCCCCTAACCCCTAAACGACCCCTAAACCCTAAACCTAAAAAACAAACAACCAAAGCCCCTAACCCCTAAACGACCACTAAACCCGAAACCTAAAAAACAAACAACCAAAGCCCCTAACCCCTAAACGACCACTAAACCCGAAACCTAAAAAACAAACAACCAAAGCCCCTAACCCCTAAACGACCCCTAAACCCTAAACCTAAAAAACAAACAACCAAAGCCCCTAACCCCTAAACGACCACTAAACCCGAAACCTAAAAAACAAACAACCAAAGCCCCTAACCCCTAAACGACCACTAAACCCTAAACCTAAAAAACAAACAACCAAAGCCCCTAACCCCTAAACGACCACTAAACCCGAAACCTAAAAAACAAACAACCAAAGCCCCTAACCCCTAAACGACCACTAAACCCGAAACCTAAAAAACAAACAACCAAAGCCCCTAACCCCTAAACGACCCCTAAACCCGAAACCTAAAAAACAAACAACCAAAGCCCCTAACCCCTAAACGACCCCTAAACCCTAAACCTAAAAAACAAACAACCAAAGCCCCTAACCCCTAAACGACCCACTAAACCCGAAACCTAAAAAACAAACAACCAAAGCCCCTAACCCCTAAACGACCACTAAACCCTAAACCTAAAAAACAAACAACCAAAGCCCCTAACCCCTAAACGACCACTAAACCCTAAACCTAAAAAACAAACAACCAAAGCCCCTAACCCCTAAACGACCACTAAACCCGAAACCTACAAACAACCAAAGCCCCTAACCCCTAAACGACCCCTAAACCCGAAACCTAAAAAACAAACAACCAAAGCCCCTAACCCCTAAACGACCCCTAAACCCTAAACCTAAAAAACAAACAACCAAAGCCCCTAACCCCTAAACGACCCCTAAACCCTAAACCTAAAAAACAAACAACCAAAGCCCCTAACCCCTAAACGACCACTAAACCCGAAACCTAAAAAACAAACAACCAAAGCCCCTAACCCCTAAACGACCACTAAACCCTAAACCTAAAAAACAAACAACCAAAGCCCCTAACCCCTAAACGACCACTAAACCCGAAACCTAAAAAACAAACAACCAAAGCCCCTAACCCCTAAACGACCACTAAACCCGAAACCTAAAAAACAAACAACCAAAGCCCCTAACCCCTAAACGACCCCTAAACCCTAAACCTAAAAAACAAACAACCAAAGCCCCTAACCCGTAAACGACCACTAAACCCGAAACCTAAAAAACAAACAACCAAAGCCCCTAACCCCTAAACGACCACTAAACCCGAAACCTAAAAAACAAACAACCAACGCCCCTAACCCCTAAACGACCACTAAACCCGAAACCTAAAAAACAAACAACCAAAGCCCCTAACCCCTAAACGACCCCTAAACCCTAAACCTAAAAAACAAACAACCAAAGCCCCTAACCCCTAAACGACCCCTTAAACTTGAAACCCCAAGTCCTCCAACTCTAAACGACCAGGTTTGAATCCAAGAAGGATGGACGAGGCAGCTGAGGGAGAAAATTAGGTGTACCCCATTTTGGGGTCCTCATCATAAGGATCCTACTATTTGGGCTGCTATATTATTAATGAGGGGGGATCTCGGTGACTTCTTCTATTTGGGACTTTCCGAAAATTGGGGACCCTAGTATAGTACCCTAAAAAGTAGGATCCTTATTATATGGACCCCAAAATAAGGTACCCTAAACCCTAAACCCTACGGTCCCTGGGAGCTCTGGAATATGGACTGGTTCCTGAATACTACTTAAAGGATCTTGGGACTTAGTCACTGAGGGTAACTATACCAGTAACTACTTATAACCCCAATTAAGGTACTTATAACCTTACTTACTAAGTCCCATGATCGTCCAAGTACCCCGTTTGCCATTGTTGTTTTAGGGTCCCCTGGTTTAAACCGAATAGTAGGAACTAGCGTACCCGTATGATAAAGGGGCTGCTCAGAAACCTTGATTGACTTAGGCTTTGTGTTTACGCTTTAGGGTTTGTTTTTTTTCGAGTTTAGGGCAGAAAGCAGCGCACATGCTTCTTCTGAGTATTAAGGCAAACCTAAGCAAGTATAGCACAGCAGACCCCGAAGCCTATTGTAGCAATGAAAGCCTCAATCTGAAAATCGGAGAATGTCAAGGGCATCAGGTGGAGGACTGACTTCGTTTCGCATGGAGCTTGCGGGTTTCGAAGGTTGGGACAGTTCCCTAAACCCTAAACCCTAAACCCTAAACCGTTTAAAGTACGGGGCAGTTTAGGGTTTAGTCGGGTTTAGAGTTTGGCAGCGCTGCGTAGAACTTCAGGCACTAAGCCCTGAGCTGCCAAGACGCCTTTCGAGATGTCCTGCTCCTGGACCATGCAGGGTTTAGGTTTTAGGGTTTAGGGTTTAGGGGCATATGGCTGTTCTTTTGGTATATCTTAGCAGCTTGCATGAACAATCGCCGACATTGTTCCGTGGGGTTCCTTGGTACATCTATGTTGCAATATGCCAATAAACATCGGTTTAAAGTATTCAGGCCCGGCATGCTACTGTTTCGTTCTTTGTTAAACAAATTAAATTGCGCGTCTGAAAGGTCATGCACCTTTTGATAGGTTCAGCCGAAAGTCGTCCTTGCTGACATCTATCTTACTACTTGTAGCATCTATATACGTATATATATATATATGTATATATATATATATATATATATATAGAGTCTCTGTATCAGGGGCCGGTATCTGGACTCTCTTCTGACTTAGATGGTAGAAGTCTAATGGAGGCTAGATGCGAATGCATAGACGGAGATTTCGACATGGTCAGAAATCATCGGGCAGGTTCTGAAGTAGCAAGAATCTCATACTGGGAAAAATACGAATACTACTCTTCAGGGTCCCCCATCCTTTGTTTTGCTTTGAAACTTTATGTGTTATTCTGAACACCCAACTCTATATTCTACTATATTCTACCTGTATTCCCCATTGTAATTCCTTTTCTGGGTTGCCTTCTGGAATCCAGAATCTCAAACTGGATAACCGACCAAAGGTAATGGTGAGTTCCCGATTATTCTGTTACTGCATGGGGGCAGTACCCGAGCCTAGACCCTGAATCCACAAAAACCTCAACCCGAAACCCTGAATCCCCTAAACCCTCAACCCGAAACCCCTAAGCCCTCAACCCTAAACCCCTAAACCCGCGACCCTCAAACCTAAACCCTCAACCCCTAAACCCTCAACCCTAAACCCACATGAACGCCTAAACCTTAAATCCTGAACCCCTAAACCCTAAACCCGAAACCCGTTTCCCATGAACCTCCAAGAAGGCCCTAAACCCTATACCCTCATAGAATCCCTATAGATTCCTTTAAAGGGACCCTTAAAGGAACCCTACTTATTAAATACCCATGAACCCACATTTCCAGGCTCCTTGCATGCAACTGACTTGACCGCGGAGCCGCAGTGAGCCTCCGCGACGGAAATATCCGAACCGTGCCTTTAGCTGGGGGCCCCAAAACAGTTTAGGGTTTAGAGTCAAGTTGAGAGTTTAGGGATTTAGGGTTTTATGGTGTAGGGTTTCGTTTAGAGTTTCGGGTTTAGGGGTTTAGGTATTGATGGTTTAGTTGAGAGTTTAAGGTTCAAGCATATGCCTTTTGCTGTGACCCACCTACCTTACCGAGCTTCATCTCACGCGTGCTTTTGATATCCCCAGTTCTTGCTTGTATGCTTTTTGGGACCCTGTTAGCAGTTCGCGTTCTGGTGCCGAGAACAGGAAGGAGCCGAGAACCCAAGAAACAGTTTTCTGCAAACTTTTGAAACATAGGGGTTTTCGAAAAAAAGGGGACCCTAATATAATACCCTAAAGTAGTAGAATCCTTATTGCAAGGACCCCCCCCCCCCCCCCCCCACAAAAAAAAGTTAGACTCTAATACTTCTCAGCAATGTTACCCTCACACAAAAGGCTGCTCTTCAGGCGTTTGAAGGAGGGAACCATGGACATACACGTCGTTTTCGGGAGGTCCTAAGGAAGAGGGAGACAGGAGCCACCCCGATTCCTGAGGGCTCCTTGTTATAAACACTAGGATGCCCAGTAGTACCCTTATTCCCTTTTTGTAGTCCCAGGTTCCTTATAAAGTTACCCAATACCAAAAAGAGAGGCATTTGTATTCTTAGGTTACTGGGTATCCTAGAACATGTGACAACATATGGGGATTTCCAAAAATGAGGGGTACCCTATCTTGGGGTCCTTATGACAAGGATCCCACTATTTCGGGTGCTATACTAGTGTCCCCTACTTTCGGAAACTCCCATATAGTGAACCCCAGAAAGTTGGCACATGGATTTAGGATGGTTCATGATGGGGGTCCCTGTACCTTAGCTTAAGGGCTTGAGGCTAAGGATGTTTCAACTTTCTGGCTTTGTTGTTGTACAAGCTACTGTTATCTAATAGTATAGACATCTTGCGATTGCAGACGATAAGACTGCATTTCGAGACCTTGTACGTTGGTGAGCACATGATTCGCATGAGCAGCAGCTTCTCGGTGACACCGGACGCCAACAATTTGAGCTAAACCTGCACTGGGCCCATTATTTTATCGTTTTTCTTTAGGGGTTCTCAAAGTCATATGTTTGAGCAGTGGTACCGGAAGAAAGATTTTGAAATCATGGGCCTAGTCAGATGCATTCGCAGCGACCTCCGGACCGCCTTCAGGTGATTCACCGATCCCTAAGGGTCCATGTACCCATATGGGAGTTTCCGAAAATTAGGGGTACCTTATTTGGGTTCCTTATGATAAGGATCCTACTATTTAGGGTACTATATTAGCGTCCCCTGTTTTTCGGAAACTCCCATATAGAGATACATGAGCCCCAAAGTACCTATATAGGGACTACATTAAGGCCAATGTATATACTAGATGAGTACATGGACCCTTAGAGAATTGCATTAAAGGAGTTCTGCAGTGGGTAAATCAAAGCCAGGTAGTTCGGGGGTACGCGACTGTCGTAACATTTCACCAGTTTCGGCGCTGAGCCTGATGCAAGAGTGAGATTGTTGGAGCCTGATCCATTGACGGTGCACGGAGCACGTCCAACATCGACATGAACAGACCATAATGGTTCATGTAGACCGCAAATTCTCTAACATGTCTGCTCCTCAATCTTCGGCAAACATCGACTTCGGTTTTGGTTTTAGGGTTAAGCATTTTCGAGTTTAGAGTTTAGGGTTTTCTTGTTTAGGGTTTAGGGAGCAGCTGATGTCTTTGTAGCGATGTGCTCCCTGCATCTCTGAGGGAGGCCAACTCAGCCTCTGAGCCTTTGGCTGTCTCTCAGCGGTTCAAAATGAGGCAATGCAATATGGGAGTTTCCGAAAATAAGGGACCCTGCTTAATTATATAGTACCCTAAATAGTAGGATCCTTATTATAAGGACCCCAAAATAAGGTACCCCTAATTTTCGGAAACTCCCATATAGGGCCTCTTTTCAGACAGACTCATGTCCGTCAACAGTACGGGGGCCTAAGTGTGTAGTAAAGCTAGGTCTGGTTCTGTATAATGTACTATCACATACCCCGCACACCCTAGTCTAATTTGTAAGGCCCCTACATTGGTGGCAAAGTGCCGACAGCGGCAGGGATGATGTGTTTTCGTTACGATTCCTGCATTTCCCAAGACGCGACAGTAGTGTTTTTGTTGGTACCTGTATAGTACGTAACTTTAAAGAATCCTTTGGGGGAGCCCTTAACCGCAAGGAGGCTTCTTGAGATCCCAAGCCGTCCCAGGGTCGACCTCGGGTGAATTTCATGAGTCCTGCTCAGGATCGGATCGTCCTCACATGGCTCAAGCGCTGGCCCTAAGACTTAGCGCAGGGCGCAGAAAGCCGACAGCTAAAACGCCACATAGCCTGCGCAACCTTATCGAATTATTGTACAGCCCTACTTAGCAGATATGAGGCCCCATAAGCGGCCTTACTGCATCGGCGCTACTCCATGACACCAAAAATCAACAAGAGCATGAACTTCTGGCTAAACACTGATAAGACCACGCTGCAACGGTGAAGGTGCAGTGATGCCCATGATCCAAGAAACGTATTTTTTATGGCACTTCGTCAACAAAGCCATCTTTTTCCATTGGTGTGGCAAACCGTCTACTTTTCAAGGCCTGGGAGGGCATTGCGCTAAACATTCAACCCTACTCTACACGGTTCTTCCGGACAGGCCGAAGCAACTGAAATTGGCCTCGATCCTCAGCCGAAGTTGCAGAAGCCATGGCACCGCCAGAAAAGGCCAGCGGAGGCGAGAAATTCTCTCATATAGGGGCCTTGATAATTAGAATTCGCTCTTCGGAGGTAGTATGGCATAAGCAACATCGGGGCTATAAAGGGAAGTTGTTATTTCCTGGACCGTGGTGGGAAGCTCGGGTTGAAAAAAATCGCCCGCTCGTCGGGTTGAGGGTTGGGTTTAGGGTTTAGAACCCCCGGCGTCCCCCCACCCCGAAACATACCTTAGCAGCGGAAGACCAGATGTATAAACCCTGCAACCTCTCACAACCTTTTTTTTGGAATTCCAAGAGACTGCTTAGAAGAACTCGTGTAGACCGCCTATAGACAAGAACTCCCCTGTGGAATGCTATCAACCGCTATAAAACCCTAAACCCTATAGACTTCTGAAGCCCTAACCCCTGAATCCCTCAAACCTCTCCCCAACCCCTAAACCCTTAAACCCCAAGCCCATAAACCCAAAACCCTACTGGCAACACCTGAGCCCTGTGAAAAGAGGCCTAAGCCCCCTTTGAGAGCGCCTCGAAATCGAACCTACGAGCTGACTTTGGGACAGGATGCGGGCTGTTGGTCTGCGGCGGAGCGGTCATGGACCATGTGGCCGGAGACCTCAGAACTTTGATGCTCGTCAAGGAATCATGTTCTAGTGTGGGTTATGTGATAGCACTCCAAGTCATAGTCGCCCTTTGCAGTTCTGCTTCGACTGCGCTTCTGCTTCGATAGACGGTTCTGCCTCGGGGCCGGGCTTGCTTCCAAGGGCGCTGAAGAGAGAGCTGCCTCGCTTTGTGCTGGGGCTCAGGGTTTAGAATTTAAGGTTGGTGGTTTTCTGTTCAGGGTTCAGAGCTTTCGCGGCGGTTTCCCGTTTAGCATTGAGGGTTGCCCGTTTTGGTTAAGGGTTTCGCGTTTAGGGTTTGTAGGCCCAATGTTTACCGTTTAGAGCGGGTTTAAGGTTCATGGTTCAATGTTTGGGGTGCCTAGGATGCCCAGTAGAACCCTTATTCCCTTTTTGTAGTCCTAGGTTCCTTATAAAGTTACCCAATACCAATGAGAGAGGCCTTTTTATTCTTAGGTTACTGGGTATCTTGGGTGCTGTTTGGGTTTTCGGCCTCAGGGTTTCGAGTTTGAAGCCGCACACCAAAGCACCCAAAACCTGAATCCCGCATGCTTTGTTTCATGTGCGGACATGTGGCAGAGCCCTCTGTAAGAAGCTAGCAAAGGACCATATGAAAAACACAGCCCCTCCAATCGTGGCAACTCACTGTCACAAGCTCTTGCAAAGTCCTTCCCAACTTCCGAGATCTCCAGAGCACTGCGATTTGGACAGCATACCTTTTTTAAACCAGGCCTTGAAGGGAAACTGAAAATCCTGCCACATGTTGTAGAAACTGAAGAATGCTGCATTGCAGTTTCAAGCGCAGGATTCGAAAGTACCCAGTAGTCAGGTACTTGAGACCTGGGTCGAGGACAGTCGCTTTGTAGGCTATAGTATTTCGAGGAGCAGATGCTGACCTTCTGAAGTCAAGCTGCTCATGGCACTTTTGCTGGCCGTAAGCTGAACTAGGTTCCTGAGTAGTACCCGTTTGCCTTTTTTTGTTTCAGGCCCCCTGATTAAAACCGAATAGTAGGAACGAGGGCCCCCTTATCGTTAAGCCGCTACTGGGAACCTAGGTGGTCGTAAGCCGAAGGTCCGGCCCTTCGACAGCAAGCAGCACGGAGCGTCTTTCACTTCGATGCCTGGCGAGGCGGATGCACATTGAACACGGGGTTTGGGGTTCGGGATGGAGGCCCTTTGAGTTTAAGGTTCGCATTTAGAATTGGAGTTTCTTACCAGAGATAAATGATGGCGACGTCGAGTGTGATGTTAGCTTTGGGTGATATTTAGTCTGGCTAGTGTTTGGTAACGACACAAAGATCCCTAAAACCTAAACCCAGGGACAAGGCGTGTTGATGGCAATTGCAGGTGCGATTGACTGACTTGAACCGTAGCCGACCTAGCTTTTTGGGGTTCCTGACTATGGTTCCTTGCACTTGGCAGGCTGGGGTTTTGAGGTCAGGTCCGGGCACCGATAAGGCTTAGCTTGCACTTAGCTCAACTCTTTCACAAGTATTTCGCAATCGCTGTATCCTCTGACGGTGACAGATGCTTTGAGGGCTAAGCTGAAGAGATGAAGCTTGACACTTTGAGGTTAAACTAGTAACTAGATCTCGATCCTGCAGAGGCTGCGGTCATTATCCATGATTCTCACAGGGGCCATCCATGAGTCCTGTTGAGGTGTAGATTTCGGCCTGGTTCTACAAAGTAGCCGGGTTTGGGGCTTGGGTATCGAAGTACTACTATGAGAAACTATGCGTTTGGAGTTATGTCTGTCGTAGCGAAACCTCTCAACCCCCAAACTCTTCACCCTGATGCCCAGAGTACATCCTTTGCTTATAAGCACGATAGCGCTCTAAAGAAACCCTAAACACCCATATACCCCATCAATGCTACACTGCTTCTAGGGAGGCTCCTTCAAACTGGAGTTGGATCGATCGGATCGAACCCTTTGGGCCTCTGGGTGCATGCCTTACAGAGTCTGATGCCCTACACTCGTCCTCGCCGCGCTAGGCGCGAGTCTCGTCCGGGCCTTGTCCGAGGGTTCGCGCCTGCAGGGTGGACTTTGGGTTAAGCCCTGCACCTTCGAAAAGACGCTCAGCCCTACATACTAGACCCTGTAAGAAGCTCTAGACTTTACATGACTTTTGTACCCTAGAGCCTTCCAGGGTTTATCCACAGTTCCGTGCAATGCTTTTGCTTGTTTTCAAAGCAATAGACGCACCAGTCGTCGTCGTAGTAGTAGTAGCAGCAGTAGTAGTACTAGTACGTACTAGTACGAGTACTAGCACTAGTACTAGAAAAAACGGAGGGTGCATGAGTAAGTGCAAGAGTATGGGTTGGAGGCAGTGTGATGCATAGTACAACGACCCTGCTACTGCTACAGGTCTGTCCATGTGCTTAGGGTTTAGGGTTTAGAGTTTGGGATTTAGGGTTTAGGGCGTCTCGCCGCGCAGCGGCAGTATTTTCTATGTAGGATGGCGCCCCAACACTCCCAGGGGTGTGGGGGGGCGGCATATCGACGTCTAGCGTTCGAATGCGATTCCACCACCAAACAATTACACATTGGTTCCTCACCTTTTCCCACCCGCTGTGAGAATACACAGGCTACCACCCAAAACATTGCCTTTTAGGGTTTAGCGCTTACGCCCTCAATTCCCACCTGCCCCTGGTCTGTCTGTTGGGGCCCCAAGTAGAGAGTGAGGGGGGCCGAGGGGGTCAGGGGTCCAGGGGGGGCCAGGGGGGGCCAAGCGGGGGCCAGGGGGGGGCCAAGGGCAGGGCCAGGGGGGGGCCAGGGGGGGCAGGGGGGGAGGCCATCAGGGAGGGAAAAGGGAGAAAAGACGCCAGGTCTCCCCTAGGACCCCCCAGGAGCCCCCCGGGTCCCTGGAATCTGCCAGCTCAGAGCCCCCTGGGGTATTCCAATCTCTTGAGATTTGAGGGAATTCCCTCTGCGAATATGGGCGCCACGCAAGGGGCCTAATGGCTCTAGGGGCTGAATTCGACCATTCTCCAATGGCTCCACCCATTGTCCATCCAGAGTTGGTGTCAATCACTGCCGCATTTCCTTCTGGGTCCAGGCACCCTAAGAAAAAGGGTGGGTACGGCCTAAGCAGGCCTGGGCGGGAATTTAGGGTGCTAGAACCCAACCCACAAAACTCGAAAGGCCCCTAAACCACAAGTTAGGCGATGCCCAGTCCCTAAACCGCAAGCCCCCGACCCTGAACGCCAAGCCCAAAATGGGAGTTTTCGAAAATCGGGGTACGTCAGTTTGGGGGTCCTTGTAACAAGGATCCTGCTTTTTAGGGTACTATTTTTTTAGGGTCCCCGATTTTCGGAAACTCCCAAACCTAAACCCTAAACCCTAAACCCTTAATATTTGTAGAACCCTTATAGATCCCTTAAAGGAAACCCTTAAAGGGTCCCCGATTTTCGGAAACTCCCAAATAGCACGCAGCATCCATGAGCAGTCTACCAGGCCTGGGGGCGTGGGCCGAAACATTGCAGAGGTGGCAGCTTCCCTAGAAGGGTTTAGGGTTTAGGGTTTAGGGTTTAGGGTAGGGTTTAGGGTTTAGGGTTTAGGGTAGGGTTTAGGGTTTAGGGTTTAGGGTATAATATAGGGACCTAAATACTTACCTATACCCTGTTGGGGGTTCCTTATTGTTTTGATAATAGGGCCCAAAACCCTATTCTAATTATTAAGGCCCCTAGATTATGGTGGTTTCGTTAATATGGCTTTAGATACGGGTGGTTTTACGGTTACTATCTCAGTCTCGTGGATCTAAGTTGTGGCGGGTTTTCGGTGTCCCTTCTTGGGGCTTTCAGGGTTTCGGATAAAGGGTTTGGGGATTTCGCTGAGTTACGGGGTTTTGGAGTTTCCGACGTGTTTGGGCTGACGGGTGCAGTGCTCCTGACTGTCCGGTTTATGGGATCATGTAGGTTCGTTGGGACAGATCAGGGCGTTTTGGCCGGCGGTCGAGTCCGAAGAAGCTTAGGATTGTCGTTTTTTGGGTGGCCGGGCGGGAATGCTGTCGAAGTTTTAGAGGATGTTCAGGGTCTTTTGGGCTTCTGACTGAGACAAGGGTTGAAAGCATGTGGCACCCTGTTACACTTGCGGCTTCCAGAGTTCTGAAGTGCTACAGGCACATGTTCGCAAGTTGCATTCGATTGTTACATGTCCAGACACCCCAATCTTCAACGCCAAACCCTCTAGCAACCCCGACCCTACAGGCCGTGCGCAGCGAGACACTCCAGCACTACAGGTAGATCCTAACTCCTTGCACTCATATATAAAAACCGAAGGCTCTTGGAAACCCTACTTCTGGCCCTCTGCCTTAACATGGACCTGAAAAGAAACGGGCCTGTATTTCCAAGGGGCTCCTTAATCTCAACTCCTATCATAGTAACCCCGAGACGCCAAATCGAAGACCCAGAGACTCCATCAATTCTGGTATATACCTTAACTTATAGTTACTAGGATCCCTATTATGTTTTAAGGAATATTCCTTAAGGATAGTGGAGTCTCTGGGACTCTTACCCCTACCTTAATACCCCTAAACCCTAAGCCCTAAACCCTTTAACCCTGTAAACCCTATAAACCCTGTAAGCCCTGAATCCTATAAGCCCTGTAAGCCCTATAACCATACACCTTACAAAGCCTATAAACCTTTTAGAACTCTGTAAACCCCATTAACTATAAACTCTATAAGCCCTATAGACCCTAAACCCAAAATCCCCCAAAATCCAAGCCTCTAGAGATCTTAGGCCTCTCGTTTGGGGAGCCCAGTTGCGCTGCTGGGAGCTGTGGGCGACGACGCGCCGGGGCGGGCCCTGTCGGGCCTCCCGGGCAGTGCGTCAGGGTTTTAGGGAGGATTATGCACGGATTTTAGCAGGCTTTGGGCTTAAGGTTTACGATTTATGGTGCACGATTTGGGCAATTTTGGGGTTTCAGGGCTTTGGGATTTGCAGGTTTAGGTTGCTGGTGCGGGTTATTCGGGGGTTTTGTCTGGGCTTCCTTTCGGAAACAGATGAAGACTACAACCAAGACTGTAAAGAGGATGTCCTTCTGTAGAAGAAGCCCAGAGTCTGAGGATTCTTCATCTCGGTTGATTCAAGTTTTCCAGTAGTTTAGCGATCTGGGACGCTTTCTTCACCGACTTGCTACAGGAGTGCCCTTATGCGAAGCAAAGATTTGTGGTTTAACCAAATGTTAAGTAGGATCCTAAAAGGTAACCGAGAACTAAACTACACTGGAGACTGTCTATAGATAGAATCCCTGCATCTACGCATTTAGCATCAGGATATATATATATATATATATATATGTATATATATATGTATATATATATGTATATATATGTATATATATATATATATATGTATATACACACACATCTGTTCCTTAGTTGCTCTCTGAATCGACCCTAGCCAGGCTGCATGGCTGCGGCGAGAGGGGCATCGATGTGCAGGAGCGCGACGTGGGTGAAGTGTTTTTAGTTCCGGGGTCTGGGGTTTTAGGGGTTTACCTATAGTCTCCATTGTAGTTCCTTGTTCGGTTACCAAATATCTAAATAGGATCCTACAAGGTAACCCCAAAAATGAACTACGAGTTTAGGATTTACAGTAGAAGCCAGAAAGTTGGAATATCATTATCGTAACCCCTTTAAGGTAAATAATAGGGTATCCTACCATTAATCCATATTCCAACTTTCTGGAGTTCCTTTTAGGGCCATCTATGGAACTCATAGCCAGGCTCTGGAGGTCCTGGAAGATTCGCGCACTGCTGCCGCCTCAGACTGCGTTCTTTTGCCGGTTCTCGGAGTCATACCATAGGGGCCTAAAAGGTTGTATTCCCAGGGTTCCTTATTGTAGTTATAGTATAGAAACATATAGAAACTTGCCCAAAACCCTATTCTGATTATTAAGGCTTCTATATTAAGAAGGGCCTCTGGTCCTTGGTAGTGGGCATTTAGGGTATGACAGAGGGAAGTGGAGAGGGTCTAGGCACTTTGGGTACTGCCCACTTTGTAACAACCAGATAATATTTAGTCTGACTCTCAATATAGACTGTTGCAGGGTGGAGGCAGTACCTAAGTACGGTTCTAAGCTTGCAATTTTCGTGCTATGGCATTTCTGAGCGGTTTAAGAAGAGTTAGTAACAGTTAGTATATAGTAAAGAAAGCATTCTCCGTTCTAGTGTCGGCGCTATTGCAGCAGATAGTTTGACCCGTATGCCTGCCCGGTTAAGTTAGGCTTTATGGTGCTGGGGCTTATGGCTTAGACCTTGAGGGTTTGTGTATTTAGGGTCTCTGGGGGTTTAAGGTTTGAATGTTTCGGGGTATTTGGTGTCTTGAAGTGACAGCCTCTGAGTTTCTTAGTGCTTTCGTCATGGAGTATCAGGGCTCATCCTTTATCCATGCTTCAAAGGGAACTCCAGAAAGTTGGAATATGGTTTCAGGGTAGGATACCCTATAATTTACCATAAAGGGTTTAGGATAATCATATTCCAACTTTCTGGCTTGTACTTTAAAGCCAACGACCTCACTATGGGGAATGTGGGGCTCAGAAAGGTAGAACTTGAAATTCTTCGTTACTGCAGAGTCATTCATCTGATGCACTGCCACTTTCTGTTCCACTTGTTGGTGTAGCCTGATGTTCAATTTAGGCACGGGCTTCGCAATCTGAGTCATTAGGAACCTGACAGGAGCGCCCTGAAAATCATAGAAGCGGTTACAAAGCCCTTTGAAGGAAACCGTATCGAACCCTCATAGAAGCCACACAGCGCAGCTCCAGGCCACCTACACCGCACTGTTGGACGGGAAGGGCGAGCTCGTCGGCGCTGTGGCGGTCGGGGGCCCACAGCCTGCTGAACAGTTTCACGCCAAGTGCAAAGCAGCACGACGCCTGGGTTGAAGGCTTTGCATACTTCCTCTCCACTCAGATCAAAGGCTCAAGAGAGAGCCATGCTTGGGCGTACAGGGCAGGCTTCCGGATGCCCCGTTTCACCTTCGCCCAAGAAGCATCCCCAGCGATTTCAGGGACCGCAAACAAGCCCGGGCCATGCTCTCTGCGACGGAAGTTTGGGCTTTAGGGCTTTGAGGCTGCTGTGCGTCGTACCTCTGTGGAGCCATTCTCGTCCATGGCAGGCGTATTCAGCTCGCCGCCAACGCATGCTGAAGAGGCCGTCTTACGATCGGCCGACCGGAAAGAACGCGCAAGTGAACTTTTTGAATTGCCCCACAGATGGAGGTCCTGAGCATGCCAGAAGTGACAGAGCTGGGCCGATGCGTGGCTCTATCAAAAGATGTCGAAAACCTCAGCAGCTGATGAACCTGATCGATGAAGCAGTGACGAAAAACATGCTGGAGCCCAGCATCTTCGGTGCGGCCATGCAAACCTGTGGTTTCAGGGGGTGGTGGCAGGAGCTTCTGGCATTGCAAAAACTCCCACGACAGCATGGGGTAAGTTTGGGAGTAATCGAGGTTAACATCGGCTTGACAGCCCTCACCTCCTGCTAAAAAAAGCGTGGTGCGTATGGGGTTCTCCAGTCTCGGGCATCACTCGCTTTTATCCTCGCCAGGGATCTGTGCAATCAGGTAGAGATCGATGTGATATCAGATGCCGAAGTCTTGAACTCATTTTTCAGCAGTGCGCTGAAGCTTGCCACATGCCTTCGTTCAGAGGCAGCCCGCGCATGGGCTCTTGGACTGTGGGATCGGGCACGAGCCCTATCTTTTTCAATTAGTGGCATCACATACAGCACATACATACAGTTTTTAGAGCAGTACCGGCTCTACGATCAGGTGGATGCGCTCTTGGAAGATGCTGAGATGTCACAAGCCTTGAACTATATAGTGTTGTCTGGCCTGCTCGAGCAGGTTTCTTTCCGCAAAGACTGGGAACGGGCGGAGATCCTGTGGACAAACTGCACGGCGAAGGGCGTCATGCCAAATCTGATCTGTGTGCTTGCTCGAGCAAAAGTGCATCTACTGGCAGGAAGACCTACTGCCGTGTTAGAGATACTGCAAAGCGGAATGGATCTATGCGGGTCGTGCTTTGAAGAGAACGGGCGGCTTGTCCAAGAATATGCACAGTCCTTGCTCATTGCTTCACACTCGTCCTTAGATCCACAAGTTTTGCGCCACCTTCGTGAATTTCTTGATGACGGACATTTCTCAATCGAAAAGAAGACGTCGTTTTCGATGAGAAACGGATTGAAGCAGATGAAGGCCTTGGCCGAGATGTTGCTTTCCAGCCCCAATGACTTGCGGCTTCATGATCTGCTAGTCGAGTGGAAAGCCAAAGAGATGAGCGTAATGGCCAAGTGGGACAACTTCCGAGCTGGCACAAAGTACCTGGACGACTGAAGCGCCTGATGTCGAAGCTCCCTCGCCCCCTGCACCCCCAACAATCCGTAAGTGCCAACTCGTAGCAATGTGCCCTGGAAGGCACAGATCTTTCAAGTACACTGTCTATCGGTCATGGTCCCCGTGTGTTTTTACGATGTACGCGTAACTTCCGTTTCAGCATACCGGCTAACCCCACCCCCAAGGAAACCCTAAATATATTGTGAGGCTCAATAATGCTTGAATTTTGGAGTGCTGCAGTGCTGCGCTGTGTATGGTGGAGCAGCCGAAACTCATGAGATCGCCCACATCGGCCTTATTGCACCGGGTCATCCAGTATTAATGGTCTTCGGGTGTATATTCCGTCTGTTTCAACGAACAAAAGCTTCTGGGTGGCCGCGCATTCGAAACCTACAAATGTCCGGAGCGAGTTGGAAAAGGCTAGGCACCACCACCAGGAATCGGTACATCGCGTAACCCGTAAATCAAGCAACGGCCCTCACAGAGCAAGCCCAGCAACCCAAACAAGGCCCTGTAATGTTCAGCAGCTATGATATAGTTCTAGAGTTGAAGCCCTTGAAGATCCACCGCTTCGTCAACAAAAACAAGCAATCAGACCACCTGCAGATGATGACCTACAAACTTGTAGGTCCTAAGGCCCCTCGCAGGACATGGCCATCCTGGATGCCATCAGTGCAGAAAGCATCGCACGCCGCTGTGCCGACCTAGCCAGGGCCTTAAGTTCCTCTTATCAGCTATCGGTTGTAGTTTAAGGTAACCGGGCAATCCCCCAAAGGAAAGACAATGGAGACGAGAGGTACTATGATTGTCAGAGAAGTCTGAATAAGACTTGGCAAGAGTGTGCCCCTATGGTCCCTGCATGTGTTTTCTGTGTCACCGTTTCCCTTCGGACCCAGGATCCCGCAGACCATCGCATCGTTGCATTGTGCCTTACAGTGGAGCCCTCATATCAGGTTTTTGCCTGCGAGGTCTCATTCTCCTGGTCCCGGAGAACCCTGAACTTACACCTCATGGTCTAGAGTGTTGTGAAATTTCCCTGTCTTGGAGTGCCGTGTTGACATGTCCTCATGCGAGCGTAGTCTTTTGAGTTAGATCTGAACGCACCCTGTACGACAGACGTCTTGGGCTCAGACCAAAAAGTGCGCTCGTTGTGTGGTTGGACACTCACTAATCCAGTTCCTGCTTCAAACTGGTAGCGGAGCTGTGAGGACAACCACTAGTGTTTCACCCCCGTAGAGCCTGTGGTCCGGGGTCCGTTGGGTAGAGTAGTGATAGTCGCGGCGCAAAGGCCCCTTCTATCTGAAGCCATGAGCGTGGCAGGTTTGCGTTACCAGCCCAATCTCTGGTCACAGAACCTGAGCCCTGCAGAAACCAAAAGCGGGTCGTACATATACGACGGTACGGCTGCTGGCTTCCACGATTGGTGCTTCCGGACACAGATCCGCGTGCTGCAACATAAGGAGAAGCAGCGGCGCGAAGCTCTTAAGGACCTGCGTTTTGCCGAGTCGGCAAGGGCCAAGAGCGAGTCACCAAGGAAGTGGCGTGGCAGGGCAAGTCAGGGGACCAGTGCATCGCCCACAGATGGTGATGGAAGCAGCGGTATACCCGCCAGTCCGTCCAGCGCAAAACGGACTAAGCCCGCGTCCGAGGCAGAAGATGAGGATGCGGAGTCATTGCCGTCGCACCCCAGCCAAGTGGCGGGCGACGATGAGCAAGAGCCGGACACAGATCCGGCGGTGTACACTTTGCAAGACATTAAGGACGAGTCGCTTGATATGAGCGAATGCGTTAGCAAGATCTTGGAGGGTCTCCGAGGAGACGCCTTTTGCATCGCTCGCGACGTCGGCCTGGAACGTCTGCTTCGCCATGATGGCGTCGACTACCTGATAGAAGAAATCAGGAGGCAAGCCTTCCCTCTTCAATCTGAAGAGGCGTCCGAACTTTTCCGTCAGGGACAGCTCCTGACGGGCCCACTTGCAAAGCAACCCGGCGAGCCTATGTTGTCTTACATAGCCCGCCGAAAGCGGTGGTGGTCGACCTTGCGTGAGCTAGATCCTGATATCCGCCTTTCTGAAGCAATGAGGGCTAATCTCCTTGTTGAGCTTTCAGGGTTGGAAAGGAACGAACAGCTAATGGTCAAGACCGCCGCCCGCGTACACACCGTGGATGAGTACGCACGCGTCCTTGTTCAGCATCACTCAGTGGTGCACATGAAGGAACGTCTTCTTACCCAGAAGGACCCTAGTGGCCCAGGTAAGACCTGGAGACGTTTCGACGCTAAGCCACAATACCCTAAGTTTGGCTATATGGGGTATGATGGTAGTGCCGCAGAGTATGGTTACCAGGAACAACAGGAATCCGCGGAAGGCTACGGTGACGGCTACGGCGAAGAAGCATACCAGGCCACAGCGTCTGGGGGAGATGATGCGGATGAATGGATTGATGATGAGGATCTAGCATTGCAACTCAACGCCTATACGGCAGTGGCATATGAAGCTGAGATTGACGATTTGGATGATTCCTATGCCGAGTCAGTTCAGCTTGCGTACGCGGCACAGACCGCCTTTGCCCAGGCGAAAGGAAAAGGAAAGGGGAAGAACAAGGGCAAGTCCCCCGGAAAATCCGGAGGGAAGGTCGTGCGTAGCAATTTGACCATTGCTGACCGTAAGGCCAAGTTAGCAGAGCTTAAGGCAAAGAGTAGGTGCCTGAAGTGCGGTGTGATCGGCCATTGGGCCGGAGATGCTGCCTGCAAGTTTAGCGGTAAGGGCAGTGGCCCCAAGGGCACCACAACCCCAGCACAGTCTGGGGAAACTGCCAACGCAGCCGCAAAGTCGGCGACGCCGAAGCCTCAGGCGTATTTCGCCGCAGTGGAGGAGGATGACACAGAGTGTGTCCATCTGTCGAATGCGAGCGCTGGTAGGCTCGAGGGTTACCCAGCCAACCTTGAGCTGACTCCCTCAAAGACCAATACCGGCAAAGGCCGCGGCAATGAAACCCTCTTCTCACCACAGCTTCGGCGCACAGCCGCCGCTAGGATCATGCGTGACAGCCCGCCTGAGGGTTCCGATCGCGTTTTCTCCTTTGGTCAGCATAAGGGTCTGACTTATGAGCGTGTCTTGTATACGTTTCCTGGGTATGTTCTTTGGGGACGCACGCAGAAGTGCCCATCCATAAATTTGGCCGATTTCTTGGATTGGGTCACGGAGTACTTTGATGTGCGTGATGATAACCCCATTAGCATCACGAGAAGGGATGTCCCTCTCAGCCAGGAACCCCCGCCTGAACCCTTTCAGCCCGAGGTTCGCCTCGCCGCGTCAGCTGCTTCGTCCAGCGAAGGCCCCCGGAAATGCCGGGGAGGTTGCAAGGAGTTCAACAAGTCGGGGAGTAACGCATACATAGACATGCGGACCTGTAAGAAATGCGGCACCGTCACCAAGACGAAGAAAGAGAAGCCTGTCATAGATCAGGCCACATGCCCCCACACCTCCACCGAGAGGTCGGGTAGCAGTAGGAAGACCTCCCGCATTAAGTGCAAGCTTTGTGGGATGCTTCTAGATGAGCAGCCGCAGACCGAGCGAAAGGCTAGGGATGACGCAGCCACAGTGCTGCGGGAGTCCAACACCCTGGACTTCGATCTTCTGCGCAGCATAGTCGGCAGCACGGGGGATAGCCTCCCCGTAGAGGTAGTAGTTCCGGCTATTGCCCAGTTTCAAGAGACCATAGAGGGTCACTTCGTAACCGAGCCCGTGATATCCCGCGGTGACCTTCTCGCATACCTGCAAGAGGCCTTAGACGATCACTCTGCGCCATCGACCAACAACAGTTGGGAAGTGGCGTCGGCGAGATCGCGCTCCTCGAGGGCCTCCGCGACGAGGCACGCCTTCGTGGCTTTCACTGAGGGGGTCACAGATATCCATCCGGCTTTGGTTGATTTGCCCGTAGTAAATATCTACGAGGATAAGCACGTATACGCCGTGTTGGATGAGGGCTGTAACTCGACTGTTCACGGTAGCGATTGGATAGCAAACGCGGCGGGGAAACTTGCGAACTTCGGTTACAGCACGAGGTTTAAACCTGAGGGCAATCGTACCTTCAAGGGTCTTAGCGGTGCTACCGAAACCCTGGGTAGCAGGACCATACCTTTCTCTATAATGGGATTGGAGCAGGACTTGAGAGTTCCGGGCGTCCTTGATTCACATGAGATTAAGGGTACAGCCCCTCTCCTTTTGTCCCTTTACGCCCAGGCCCAACTTGGTATAACCAAGGATCTTCGGTTTGGTGAGTGTGGTGTTCGACTTCCTTCTGAGGATAGCATCATTAGGATCAAGCTGTGTCGGACACATGACTCAGGGCTGTTATGCATAAACATAACAGAAGGTTTGACCCAGGTGAAACAACCCCGTCTCATAAAGAGCTTCCAAATTCCCTCGCCGCCAGTTCCTATATTTAGGTCTGCCGCCGCCGCCGCCTTAGCTCACTCAGAGTCTGTGAGCTCACCTCGAGATGCAACAGCGGCAGATGACGCAGTGGCAACAAGTCGCAGTCACAGTACTGTAGATGCAGGCCATGGTCATAGCACTGTAGGCGTAGGCCACGGTCACAGCTTCACAACGACAGCTGAGAATCGCAACAACACTAAGCGACGCATAAGCGTAGCGTTCCCGAACCATTGCATGGTAGGCACGTCCGTAGGAGACACGGAGCCCGCCGCGATGGCCGCAGCAGAGGGGCAGTTGCCTAAGAAGGCGCCCCCAACGGCAAAGGCTGCACCGAAGATTCCAGCAGCGCCGGACCCTGGCCACAGTGCCATGGCGAAGTCCCCTGCGGTCGGCCACAGTGCCGCACCGGCAATCACTCCTGCTTTCGCCGCGCCTGCGCCTAAGGCGCCGCCTGGAAGTGGCTTGCCAAAGAAAGCGCCTCCCATAGAGAAGGCTAGGCCTGGGGATAGCCCAGGGATACCGCCAGCAGCCCGTGCCACAGTGCATCCGAAGGAGATTGCA